TGAAAAAAGCATCGTTTCTGGCTTTTACATGGAGTTATATGGAGTAAAACAGCAAATTATTTTGTGCGTGGATAAATATATGAGTTTTGAGAGCTGAGGTGCTGATTTAGATTTTCTGAGACATAGCCAAGGTCAAGGTGAGTGCACAGAGGTCTCTCTCAGTCTTGCAGGCACACACACACATGTTTGTTATTGTGAATTGTAGGGATATTACATTAGTTTCAATTGTTTTATACTGTACAAACTGTATTTTCTGGCCTAACCCCACCCTATCCCTAAGAAAAAAGCTCATTCTGTGTGACTTATAAGCTTTTGAGAAAGGACGACAGCAGCAATGTCCTTATATTTCACCACCTTTTTGTAATACCTTTGTCATACCTATGTCACACGCACGCACGCACACGCACTAAACTCTATATAAAGCCAGAAACTAAGCTTAGTTTGAACTGGAACTGATGATCAACAGTAAAATTTACACCTTGTACCTCTTCCCAGCAGGGAAAACCACCAAAATCATAACTGCATAATTATATACAGTTATGGCTTTGCAAATTAAATGTCATTATAATGGATGTCAATGGGGCAAAAACTGCCATGAACATAACAAAAGCATAGTAAATTTGCCCAAAGTGTATTGTTAAATTTGAGAAATTTCAAAGTATTTTCCCAAAATATGTGTCAAAATAAAATGTCACCAAAAATAATTCCATTTGCTGAAACACAGAGAAAGCTGTGGCCATCATACTGATTGCTAACTCTTTTACTTAGAAATGTTGACAAAAAAATTTTGTTCCTCTGAAAAAGAAAAAAAAAATCTGAAAAATATTCATAACACAATTAGAATGACCTTTAGTTCAATCTCTATGATAGATCAACAAATTTTTGTCCTGATAATCTTAAATTGTTACAATAAAGACATCTCAAACAATGTCGTCTTTGCATTTAAAATGTCATTTCTGAACCTTAATAACAGTTGTCATAAGCATGCATAAAATCTCCTTCATAATTATGGCATGTGTCACCTCATGATTATAAAGGCTTCATGATAGTCCTATGAACACCCCTTCAAGTAAGGTGTTACCAGTAAATATAATAGAAATAATATCAATTCTTCCTCAATTTGGAATAAATTAAAACCATACTTTCACATAAAGTGACTATATGATTACTTGCATAGATAGATATGATATTCCAAAACATCATATTTCATAAAATATACCTATAAAACACAAGAATGGGTCTACACGAACCCTATACATCACGACAGAGAATCAAATCACAGTTGGAAAGATCACATTCACGCTTATTTCAGAGCCTGCTGAACTATCTTTTGTTTAATATAACCATCATATAACATACAACATCAATTCCTATCATGTATTACTGTATATTCCTACTGTAAAATCGTTCTGTCTCTGTTCAATTAAGGCAATAATGAAGTCATGAACTCTAAGATCTAACCTACGACAGACTTTGCATCACAAATAAACACGGAGTTTGGACAGTTACTTCTCTATAATGTATGATGCATCCGCACAGTACTGAGAGGTTATTTTGTGCTTGTTTTAAGGCTGCTCGAGTCAACGCGGTGTTGAATCAGAAGCTAGAGGGCAGTGAAGACTGTTCCTGAGACTGTTCACTTCTTCAGGATCTGAGCACGTACACTAGAGGTAGCTTTTTTTAGACCGCTATGAATATCAATTTTTCACTATCTACAGTGAATTTCAAACCAAATCAGTATAAAAAACGTATGTTATTGAAGATGTAAGAAAATACTCATTTTGGAAAGAAATATCAATCTCAATCTTATTTAGACTACAAAATGAATGCATTTGTAAATGTATAAAGGGGCAGATTTAAAGGGTGTGCACTACCTGACAAAAGTCTTGTCGCCTATCCAAGTTTTAAGAACAACAAATTATATCTTGACTTCTAGTTGATCAATTGGTACCAGAAGTGGCTTATTATGAAAGCCGAAAGCCTCTAGATTAAGCTTATTTTACCAAAATAAAATATGATCTTGCCTTGATTTTTAATGATTTAATTAGGATAGTTTCCTAGAGATGGGTTGCGGCTGGAAGGGCATCTGCTGCGTAAAAACTTGCTGGATAAGTTGGTGGTTCATTCCGCTGTGGCGACCTCGGCTTAATAAAGGGACTAAGCCGACAAGAAAAAGAATGAATGAATAATTAGGAAAGTAAAGTCTGACTTTGTTTAGACAAAAGTCTTGTCATTTAACAGAAATAATGTACAGTATGTAATATAAAGTCATGGTGCAGTGGAGAAAGAATTAATATTTGTGTATGACTCCCATGAGCTTGGAGGTCTGCATCCATACATCTCTGCAATGACTCAATTAACTTATTAAGTCATCTGGAATGGCAAAGAAAGCGTTCTTGCAGGACTCCCAGAGTTCATCAAGAATCATTGGATTCATCTTTAATGCCTCCTCCATTTTACCCCAGACATGCTCATTTATGTTTATGTCTGGTGACTGGGCTGGCCAATCCTGGATCACCTTAACCTTCTTTGCTTTCAAGAACTGTGATGTGGAGGCTGAAGTATGAGTGCTAAAATCTGCCTGCTGACACTTTTTCAAATGATCAACTAGATGTCAAGTTATTATTTGTTGCTCTTAAAAACTGGGATCGACGACGAGACTTTTGTCAGGTAGTGTATAAATAACAGTTCAAATGTGTGGGGTCAAAATTACATTTAATAGATTTTAAAATATAATTTGTTTGTTATTTAAAAAATGAATGATTGGGTGGCTAATTTCTGTGGAGAGTGATGCATTTTAAGGAGTGTTAAATAAAGGAAGACTGTGTGAATTCTTGTTGAATTTACGTGTTCTAGCTGAATTAAAGCATTCCTTTAAAATACCTTAATAGCAACAAAAAAAAGAGTCTGACTTTATATTAGGTGGCCTTAATTATTATGTACTTGCAATAAAACATAAATACAATGTACTTGCTGAGTTTCTAATGTATTGCAGATACTTAATCCATCATAAGAACAGAGTAGAAACATGTATTTACACAATATGTACATTGTAACAAATGAATAATTTCAGTGCAAATATATATTAATTGAGGCCACATAATAAAAAGTGAGACCAAAGTTTGTATTTTATTGATCCCAGACATTTGAATGGTACTGTTATATATATATTTTGCCTTTAAATATATGAGTCAAAGACAAGAAGCCCTGTTGTGGTGTCTGCATCAAAACAAATTTTACAATGGTGCTTTTTTTCTATAATTAGAAAGCATTTTAATGCTAGTAAAGTGTCTACTTTATTCTTTCAAATACATTTTGTAAAATATAGGTGATAAATAAAATAATGCTCATTTAACGTTAATCATTTTACATATATACACTCAACAGCCACTTTATTAGGCAAACCCTACCGGGTTGGCCCCCCTTTTGCCTTCAAAACTGCCTTAATCCTTCGTGGCATAGATTCAACAAGGTACTGGAAATATTCCTGGTCCATATTGACACGATAGCATCACGCAGTTGCTGCAGATTTGTTGACTGCACATCCATAATGTGAATCTCCTGTTTCACCACATCCCAAAGATGCTGTATTGGATTGAGTTCTGGTGACTGTGGAGGCCATTTGAGTGCAGTGAACTCATTTTCATATTTAAGAAATCAGTCAGAGATGATTCATTCTATATGACATGGCGAGTTATTCTGCTGGAAGTAGCCATCAGAAGATGGACACACTGTGGTCATAAAGGGATGGACATGGTCAGCAACAATACTCAGGTAGGCTGTGGCGTTGACACACTGCTCAATTGGTACTAATGGGCCTAAAGTGTGCCAAGAAAATATCCCCCACACCATCACACCACCACCAGCACCCTGAACCGCTGATACAAAGCAGGATGGATCCATGCTTTCATGTTGTTGATGCTAAATTCTGAGCCTACCATCTGAATGTTGCAGCAGAAATCGAGACTCATCATACCAGGCAACATTTTTTCAATCTTCTATTGTCCATTTTTGGTGAGCCTGTGCGAATTTTAGCCTCAGTTTCCTGTTCTTAGCTGTCAGGAGTGGCACCCGGTGTGGTCTACTGCTGCTGTAGCCAGTCTGCCTCAAGGTTGGACGTGTTGTGCATTCAGAGATGCTCTTCTGCATATCTCAGTTGTAATGAGTGGTTATTTGAGTTACTGGTGCCTTTCTATCAGCTTGAACCAGTCTGGCCATTCTCTTCTGACCTCTGGCATCAACAAGGCATTTGCACCGACAGATCTGCCACTCACTAGATATTTTCTCTTTTTCAGACCATTCTCTGTAAACCCTAGAGATGGTTGTGTGTGAAAATTCCAGTAGATCAGCAGTTTCTGAAATATTGAAACCAGCCTGTCTGGCACCAACAGCTATGCCATATTCAAAGTCACTTAAATCACCTTCCTTCCCCATTCTAATGCTCGGTTTGAACTGCAGCAGATAATCTTGACCATATCCACATGTCTTAATGCATTAAGTAGCTGTAATGTGATTGGCTGATAAAAAAAAAAAAATGCGTTAACAAGCAGTTGGACAGGTGTACCTAATAAAGTGGCCGGTGACTGTATAGCAATTAATAGTAATTAATCATTACCAAACAGTAAAATAGTTATATATAAATGAAACAACATAATATTTCTGAACTGTGCTTACACAACATATACAAAAGCATAAGTGGTTGTGCTAATGTTACATGATTATAACATAGTGGTTTGAAAGATAGTGGCAAATATTGCACGGTAAATTTAAATGTCATTAAATGATTTTTAGATCAAAATATGAGGCTTTTTTGGTATATAAACAACAGTTATTACATCAGAATACATTTTAGTGGGTATCTCCAGTAATTCACGTCAAAAAAAGTATGATAATCATTTGAAAAAACTCGCTCATGTATAAAAAAATAAAGCTAATTATTACGTTCATCATTCTGATGCTGAAGCTTCATCTTTGACCCATATAAATGAATTCTTATATTATTTTTTTAAGGTTCTCTTAAATAATTCTGTGGCATAACAACAAATAAAACTCTATTGTCATTTTCAAGAATTAGCAAAATGTTGTTTAGATGAAGCACGCTATCTGTGTTATCACCCCGTCATAGTGATTCTTTTTAATAAGAGAACAGATTACTTGAAAGCTTTTCTGATAGCATTGGCAGCTAGTATTTCCCTACAAGTGGTCACGAATGCCTGCTGCTTCTCATAATAGGCCGCTTCATTAATAAACGTAGGGTACACTGTGTTGGCACCTTCATAAAGAATTGTTCTCCCATCGAAAGTAAGGAACATTGGGTCACCCCGGTTCAGAGGCTCCCAGTCGCAGTCCTGCACACAAACACACACGCAAGCATTAGCGTGGAAAACAACTGAAGCCTGGAAGTCAGAGCAAACACGTGAGTCATAGGACACATTTTCTTACATGTGTTTCCCTCTCGCTCTTTCTGTGTCATAAAGAGCAACCGTTTTCTAGGCTGCTCGAGGGTAAATGTGCAGAGTTGTGTATGCATGCATTTATTATTAGAGTGCCTACCTGTAGATGCGGATGCACCATGGCTGTGATGTTTCCATTGGTGTCTCTTGGATAGTCCATTCTCTCCTGGACTCTGAAAACATTTACTGTGCATGGAGGAAACTCTACACCTGTTGGCAGACGGGAATATCATGGCGATTGAGTTCATTTGTCTGTTTTTATTACAGGCATATTTCACAAAAAATAGAAAAAAAAAATACAAATACTTTCCTATATTTTCTAAAAATATATATTTTAAAATATACCAAAAATGGCCCAATATATAAATTTATTCTCTAAAAATAGATTTAATATATGAATATATAAAAATACATTTAAAGCATAATTTCAAAGAAAAAACATAAGCAGTATTCATTTAAAATCATTTGACGCCTAAAACATCTAAAGAAAGTAACGTAGAATAAATAAATAAAAAAAGATTGTTTTAAGCTTTCAGACTTATTGTTAGATTCTTATGGAGACAGATAAGACTCAAAAGTAATTCATGCAAAAGACACGATTTACACATGCGTAGCCAAATTCACGTGCATAAAACCAAATTCACATGCGTAAAATATTTATTTATATTCACCAAAAAATTCCACGTGCTCAAAATAACAATACATTTTCATAAAATACGTTTCACAAATGCAAAACACCATTTGCAAATGTATAGGAGTGTACAAAAAGTTTTGAATGTTTAAAACTTGCGAGTTCATCCTGAATGAGAATGTGCAAATCCCCTTTCACGTACGACTCCCCCTGGATACGTGTGTGTGTATTTTTGAGACTTTCCTGCCAGAGGCAGTGTAACTCGTACCTTTCAGCCAATCAGAGGAGAGCTGTAGTCAAGGACACCCACTCTGTGCTCTATTTGCGCAGACTGTTCCTCTCCAGCACGGCGAACGGAGAAAGCAGCAGTCGCAGTCGCACTTTTTTCATTTATTTATTTATCTGACCATAGCCTCACTCTTTTTATCCATTATTTTGCCGCAGCTCCACTCTTCTTATTTATTGTCTCGCAGCCCCATGAGTAAACTTTAGCCTGCAGGGTAATGATGAGGATTAAGTATTATTCCGGCCATACAAGCCTTAACAGTGCTGTTGTGATCCAGCGGTCAGCATGTTGGGTTGCCACGCCGTCGAACTGTGTTCGATCCTCACCTGAGTTAGTGTTTTTTTTTTTTTTTTTTCATTTTTATTGTTAAGACATACAAAACTGTAAGGTTGTTGAACATTTGAAGTTCTAAAGCAGCTGTTTTCTTGAAAAAGACGTGATAGTGTCATTAGAAACTGAATTGGAAATGACTTTATTTTATTATAGTCAGTCGTGAACTGAGGTGGGCCGGTCTAAGGCTTGAAACTGCACGTGAATTTGGCTACGCATGTGTAAATCGTGTCTTTTGCATGAATTACTTTTGAGTCTTATCTGTCTCCATAGATTCTGACTTCCACTGCAATGGAAAAAAAACATACTAGCTATACTAGTATAGCATAAATTGTGCAGTTGTACGTAAGACAAAATTAAAGGCAAAATGATGACATTGTTGAACAAAGACAGTGAATTTTTGTATTATATCCTATTTTATTTTTACTTTTTGGAGAAAATGAAAATGACTGTATATTTCAGAATAAAGATGTACAATATGGAAAACACAAGCAAGATAAATGGTGCTGTAAATGTAAATACAGTATTTTTGCTATAACTAATTTACAGTAAGTTACTGTAAATTCTACAGAAAATTGTTAACAGTGCATTTGTGGTTACAAAAATAGAGTCCAAAATATTTAGTTCCAAAACATTCTTTTAAAAAAAATCTTCTATCTCAATATCATGTTTATTATGCTTAAGTCATGTTGTATTTTTTCAGCTTTGGTTTCTTCAGCGGGGAGCGGGATCCAGCTGGTCTAAAAAATGCTAAGAATAAAAAACAAGCATAATACTTCAGTAAATAAGTCAACCTATTTGCCAGCTTGCGTTACCATCTCAATGGTGCTGTATGTAAGTTTTTGACTCTTCTAAAGAACAAAAATACCAGATATTTAAGAAAGTGAACATTCTGGTTTATCTGAAAAACAATGCTGAAATCTGATATTCTGATTTGAAAATGTGAGTTACGTGCCAGACTGTTTTTGTTTTGGTTTTTTAACCCGGCCAATGCCAGTGTAGCCAATTATATTTCAGCACCCCAGGTTGCCTTGGTGGGAAACCGCATATAACATTCCTCAGTCAGAAAGTCTTTCTAAGCATGCATCCGAAATGTGACCTTCCGTGGACAGTAGCAGACTCCTAAATGAGAAGCAGATTCAGAGTTCCACTTGAGGTGGTTATTAATTAGCAAATAAAATAAAAATTACGGACGTAAACATTAGGTGAGCAGGTTACATTGTACCCTCGTGTCCTAACAACACGCTACATGAAGAGATTTGCAATGATAAGCAATTTGGCTATTTGCACCAGACGAATCATGACTCCAATGAAATGGTAAAGTTTATAATGTAATTAATAAATATTAAACCTCTTTTACATTATTAAATGTACATGCTGAATTAGTGTGTTGGGTTGCACTGAGCCACAGTTCTGACTTTTAGTTTCAATCGGTTTATCTTATTTTCAAGACCTGAGGTGAACAATCTGCTGCTGCTTTCAGTAGTATGGAAATAAATGTCATGTAAAAAAAAAAAATCACATTATAAGCATTTAACACTGGCAATGATCACTATAAGTACATTTCATTTGCTTTATTCAGTTTTCTTTTGCTCAGCTGCAAGAAATAGAAAAAAATATAATATATTTTAAAATATAAATTTTAGGTGTTAGATAGAACAAAAACTCCTTTTAGCATGGAAAATATTCCTTCTATTGTGTGCCGTTGCTTTTAGTTAGAATACTTACTTAAATCAGCCTTGAGGCTTGATAGTCAGGCACACTGCTGTTGATTTAGTCAATCTGGCAACCTGTGCTTGCCTTTGTTTTGATCCAGGAGTGCAATACCTAGTTCAACCACTGGGTGTCAAACTTATATACTGCATCTTTAATGAAATATGTAAATCGTGGTTTCTGCAGGTATCAAGTCAAATTTAAGATCTTTTTAAGACTTATCTAAGACAGGGCCGGAGTGGGACTCCTTTTCAGCCCTAGAGTTTCAAGCCTCAGACCGGCCCACCTCAGTTCACGACTGACTATATTAAAATAAGGTTATTTCCAATTCAGTTTCTAATTACACTATCACGTCTTTTTTTGAGAAAACAGCTGATTTAGAACTTCAAATGTTCAACAACCCTTACAGTATTATATGTCTTAACAATAAAAATGAAAAAAATAACATACACAGACGAGGATCAAAGCCTGGTCGGCGGCGTCATAATCTAACGTGCTAACCACTGGATCACTACAGTTGTATACAGATAGGTGACTGGTTATATATAAAAAGAGCAGAGCTGCGGTAAAATAATGAATAAGAAGACTGTGGTCAAGTAAATAAATAAATTCATTTATTTTAAGTGTGACTGCTGAGAGCAACAGATTCTGGAGCTAGGGACACCGGCCCTCGTGGCCAAAAAACGGACCGGCCCACCGGGAATTCTCCCGGTCCTCCCGACTAGCCAAATCCGGGCCTAATCTAAGACCATTACATATGAAACTTCTAGAAAAAAACCCCCACTAAAAACACCATATTTTTCTAAGGGTCAGTGGAAAATATGTTTACTTGCTCTATTAAAATTCAAAAGCATATTTACAAACAAATTTTTTTGTGGGAAAGATAATTAAACCGAATTGGTAAATAGAGTTTAAAAATGTAACTTTTGAAAACTTGGATTGTTAGTTGTACCGATTGATCAGCTTCGCATGGACAAAGGAAAATTAGGACCTGTTTAATATGATTTAAGACCTACAACACCATATTTCTAAACCTTTTAAGGTCTAAAATGTTTTTAAAATTTAAGACATTTTAAGACCCCATGGACACCCTAATAAATAGAATGTTCTAGTCCTGACATGACAGACATTTAGCATTGTGAGGTTATCAGGTTTCAGGTATGTTAAGCATGTGCTGGCATGGGCTGTCACTAAATAATATCCCTAATTAGGTTTAAAGACTTTGAGACTACTTAAATTACAGTATGCTTTGCCAATTTGCCTTAATATGAGTGAAAGTAATTTTTTAAAATCAGCTAGATAATTTTGCTGTTAGCTTGTGTTCATAGCAGATGGCTCTTGCGTCATTTAAATCCCAGAGTCTCCTAATTAACACTTTCCATTATGTCAGACCTCGTGTTTTGTTGTTATGTTGATGCGGTCCAAACGTGGTTCAGCACACTGGCGAACGGAAAACACGTCTGAGGGCTCACAATGAGACATTCATGCACAACAATACAGCCTCTACACAGCATGACACTACAAAACCCAGCAAGCTACATGGAAACTAACCAACAAGCATTCAGCTCACAAAACTCTTAAACCAGGAGAGAAACTAGATGTTCTTGCCTAACCTAGCTTAATGCAAGACGTGCCATGTGTATTCATGTCAGTACACGTGACTGCCTTGTTTATATGTTTCCACAGGAAAAAGAGGAAAACGAAAGAGAAAAGAAGAAGTCTGTGCTTCAAAACAGCTGAAATGTCGAGGTCAGACAGTTCAGGGTTTTAATGCTGACTCAATGACCTGAGAGCATAAGCGTTTGTCTTGAAATGCCACACACTATCTAGGTGGACAAACAGATGGCCGTGGGGGAAAAATGAGTTACATAAGCATGAAACATCTATAAATTATATGAGAAATGCAACTGAAGTGCCTTAGCTCTCATTAAATTCTGATAACTTTTCAAAAACACTGAATTATTGTTTCATACCATCACTGCCTACTCAAGCTAATAAGGGGTGCATTTCTGAAAACCATCGTTAGCCAATTAAGGTCGCAAGTTCCGTCATTACAAACAAAGTTTGTTGATTTGCCGTATCCCAAAACCATTGTTCCAACAAACATTCGCAAACTTGTATGCTTGCAACCAGGGGCAGACTGGGACTAAAAATCAGCCCTGGCACTGTAGCCACGCCAGCCCACATTACCACATCGACACAGCCCCATGCACAGACACGCACATTCACTACTTAAATTGGTGGATGGTGAAATAATATAAGCAGTACGGTTTTTAATAAGATATTTAAACATTTAATGTATCTGACAGTCACTGGAACAAAAACAACCCATTTAAAACCAATTTATTAACCAAATATTATGATTAGAAATCTTCTCTCTGTTAAACAGAATTTGGGGAAAAAATAAACAGGGGGCCTTATAATCCTGACTTCAACTGTATATATTCTGTGCAAAATTCTTTATAGATATCCAGTCCTTTGTAATGGTGGTCACACAAAAAATAAAAATAAAAATATGTACACCTACATAAGTAACCCAAACAGTATTATATGTCTTAACACTAAAAATAAAAAAATATATACATATATATAAATAAATAAATAATTTCTCTGGTGAGATTCGAACTCGGGTCAGCGGCAGCGTAACGCAACGTGCTGACGACTGGACCACAATGGCCTTTTTCTACCCTTTTTAGATTTCTGATCAAGTTATGTCAGATTTATTTATGTAGTAAATCATCTGATTTTCATTGAGCAGGCGTAATATTCATTAATATTAATTATTTAAACTCTTATATTCACTAAGGTGGCGCTGTTTGGGGTCGAATGATAGTTACGTCCTCATTAACCTGCAGGCTGCATTTTGCTAACGGGGCTGCGAGAAAATAAATAAAAAGAGTGCAGCTGCGGAAAAACAATGAATGAAAAGAGTGAAGCTATGGTCAAATAAATAAATAAATGAAAAAAGTGTGACTGTTGTGAGTGCAAGCAGCTAGGGACACCGGCCCTCGCGGCCAAAAAACGGAATTCTCCCGGTCCTCCTGATTAGCCAATCCGGGCTTGGGAAAGCCCATCTAAGCAAAATGTCAGCAGGCATCTGTAGTTCCACTCATGCTCTGCCAATTTGCCATTGTTTGGCATACCCAGGTCGGTGCAATGCCGCGTGAACAACATGACAACGGTTGGCCACGCCTAGCTTCTTTTTGGTTCCAAAACCTATGCGTGACGTCACAGATACTACGCCAATATCTTTTACAGTCTATGGTGGGGATCTATGATTAATGTTAATATTGATGTTACTTATTATGATGGACAGTGTTTTTCAGTAGCGAACTTAAATTTATGTAACTACATTTTTAAAGCTATTTATGTGCACCTTTTTTTTGCTCCCGCTACCCTCACTTGAGTGTCACAACTCTGTCACAAGAAGAGATTGTGATTTAACCCTATTTAATAATAAAAGCGTGATTTTTTTGAAGTGAATTAAATTATTGGCCGGGACATTTCAGTAGTGGGTGGGGACACGTTCCCTCTATCCATGCTAAATCTATGCACCTGAGTAGGCCCCATCTGATTCAGATGGGAAATTCAGATAAGCATTACCATAAAATAAGGGTCATTTATCTCACTCCTCTGTGATATGGCTACAACTAAGTATATATAACAATATTTTGTAATAACAGTGTTTTTTCAATATATTGTGCAACTCGACTCACCATTATTAAAGAGCTCGATGAAGTCCAGCGCATGCTTTAGTATCGTCCTCATAGACTCAAACACATTGCTCCTCAAAACCCCCTGTGGTTGTGGGCCCACCTCAAGACCTGCAATAGAAACACATCTACAGTATAGAAGTCAGTGGTTCACGGCCAAATAAAAAGGTCACACTCCCCTAATAGAACATTCATTAATTTTCCTTTGGCTTAGTTATTTAACAGGGTTCACCACAGCGGAATGAACCGCCAACTAATCCGGCGTATTTTTTACGCAGCGAATGCCCTTCCAGCTGCAACCCAGTGCTGGGAAACACTCTCACATACACACACACACACACACACTCATACACTACGGACAATTTAGTTTATCCAATTTACCTATAAAGCATATTTTAGGATTGTGCGGGAAACCAGAGCACCCAGAGGAAACCCACGCAAACACGGGGAAAACATGAAATGTCATGGAACAGAAATGTCAACTGGCCCAGCCGGGACTCAAACCAGCGACCTTCTTGCTGTGAGGCAACAGTGCTAACCACTGAGCACTGTTGCAAAGTCTCTTATCAAAAACAACAGAGTGCAGATATTATGCAAGTAAGAGATTAACTTTGCAGTGTAGACAGCTTTAGTGATTGTATCAGACATTTTCTGCGATAGTGCATAACACAGAGTCATGAGCTTCTTCAGTCTTAGGAAATGTACTTTGTTCACTTCAATTTATTCCCATTTTTAATAGCTCTATTGTTTTTCATGCTATTAAAACAGCCAATGCAATGTCTTGTTACTCTAATGTGTAAAAAAACAGTAAATGAAATCACTGACAGTTCTCAGCTTGTTGCATAGCTAGAATATTACATGCATTATGCAATGTTGTGCAAAAAAAAAAAAAAAGACTTTGGCTAACATATAAAGTGTAAATGAACCAAAACGGCATTTAAGATGCAGCTTTTGCAGTGGAAACATATAGTTTATACTAAAAAAATAAAAAACAAAATAATAATTAATGGTTCCATATCATTAAGTCACTGAAATAAATATAAATCAAATAAATTTAATAAAAGAAAATGTAAATATAGATATAGTGGAAGACAAGATTAATAGCCCTCCTCTGAAATTGTAATTATTTTAAAAATATTTCCCAAGAGATGTTTAACATGGGGAAGATTTTTTTTCTAAATTATATATTTTTATTTAGCTTTTTCAAAATGTTAATGATACAGAACATCCAAACTAAGCAACAAACAAACTAAAGTAAAACATACACACAGTACAGTTAAAGTCAAATTTATTATTTATTTTATATTTGCCATGATGACAGTAAATAATATTTTACTAAATATTTTTCGAGACACTTCTATACAGCTTAAAGTGACATTTAAAGACTTAACTGGTTTAATTAGGTTAACTAGGCAGGTTAGGGTAATTAGGCAAGTTATTGTAAAACAATGATTTTGTTCTGCAGACTATCATAAAAATGTACAGCTTAAATGGGCTAATAATAGACCTTAAAATGAGTTTAAAAAAAATTAAAATCTGCTTTTATTCTAGCCGAAATGAAACAAAAAAGACTTTCTTATCATCAGTAACATTACTTGTTGAGCACAAAATTTTGTAGCATATAAAATGCAAAAAACTAAATCTTATTTATGAAATGTGATGCCTTTTTTAACTACTCCCGAACACAGCGCTAAAGTCCAGCATCTTCAAATTGGCTTTAGTCTTGGCTAGTGTGGTTGAATGACACATGTCCTGGGAGCACTGTACAAATGTAGGGGCGCTATTGACACAAGCTCAGGGTACGTATGTGTTACCTAGTGTATATAACTATGTAGTCTAATTAGTACATCAATGTCTGTTTTCCATTTTAAAGCATTACATTTGCTATTGTCACTAACATTTCAGTAAGCAGAAGTTTTTTTTTAAACGATAGTTTTCATTTCTTTTTCTTTGAATCCAAATTCATAATAATGACAAATTTTTAATAACTAATTCGTCTTTGTCAAGATGACATAGTTTATAAAATCTGAACAGTCATTTTGCAAGATATTAGTATTCAGCTTAAATTGCAGTTTTATATATATATATATATATATATATATATATATATATATATATATATATATATATATACACACACACACACACACACACATATACATATATATACACACACACACACACACACACACACACACACACACACACACACACACACACACACACACACACACACACACATATATATATATATATATATATATATATATATATATATATATATATATATATATATATATATATATATATATATATATATATATATATTAATGTATAATATATATTAATGTATAATGTTTTTCTTCCAGTAAAACTAAACGAAATAAAACTTTCTCCAGTAGAAGAAATAATATAGTAAATATTGTGAAAATGTCCTTGCTTTGTTAAACATCACTTGGGAAATATTTGAAAATTAATTAAAATGTCACATTAGGGCTAATAATTTAGCCTTCAACTCTATACGACAAAACTGATACATTTACATAAAACTGTCCCTACAAATATATATATATATATATATATATATATATATATATATATATATATATATATATATATATATATATATATATTTATTTATTTATTTATTTTTTTTTTTTATAAAACCTCTTAGAAATCCTTTTCAGAGTATAAATATTGCCCCTTAATGGAAATGTTAATTACCAACCCTGCTGTGTTGTTCCACTCGAGAGCTCTTGAGTATAAAATTAATTAATGGAATTAAGGTGTCAGAATAATCACTAGAGCTCTGAATGCTTTTATAAAAACCAGACTTTTCGCCGCGTCTCTGTTTATCCCATATTTTGTTGCAGGCTAACTTTTGGAGGTAATGTTTTACTTTATTTAGTGACAGATTTGGGCTGCTGAATAACCCCGGGCTTTGTACTCACCGACAGGGTGTTTGGCCACCGAGCGTGTTGTTGAATATTTCAGCTGTGGATGTTCATTGAGCAGAACTGAGCAGGTGTGAGGGGCCATAGCTTTCTGTGAGGGGGAAGAGCACAGGTGCATTTGGACAATTCTTATTTTAAGACCTTAAAGTGATACGGTTCACCCAAAAATGAAGATTCCCTCAGCATTTACTCACACTCAACTGGCTCACAAAACAAGATATAGTGAAAGATGTTGGAAACCAACAATAAAATTAATATCAATGGCTTTTTTTAACATTTCTCAAAATATCTTATTTTGTGTTTAATAGAATAAAGACATTCAAACAGGTTTGGAACAAGATGAGGATGAGTAAATTAGGGCAGAATTTTCATTTGTTGTGAACTATCTCTCTGAAAAACAATTCCATAAAGGTGATTCTGAACATAATGTTCAGGATATAATACATGCAACTAATTATATGTGCAAAACATTCAACTGTTTGGGGTTAGTAAGACTAATATATACATACACAGCCTTCAACTCTCTCTATATATAGATATATACATATATAAACCAGCCACTTTATTAGGTACAGTAAATTTCTAATCATCCAATTACATGGCAGCAATTCAATGCATTTAGGTATGTAGACATGGTCAAGTTGATCTGCTGCAGTTCAATCCGAATCAACAGTTCAGGCTGCTGGTGGTGTAATGGTGTGGGGGAAATTTTCTTGTCACACTTTGGACCCGTTAGTACCAATTTAGCATTATGGCAATGCCACAGCCTATCTGAGTGTTGTTGCTGACCATGTCCATGGGGTCCAACCCGATACTAGTAAGGTGTACCTAATAAAGTGGCCATTGAGTGTATATAATCTATGATTGTAAAACACTGATTTGGTGCTCAACAAAATATTGAATATACTGTAAAGCAATTTGATAAGCATTAAAAAATATTTCTGATTAATATTAAGAATTTATTTAAAATAGAAATCTATTGTAACTTAAATTGCAAATGAAAAGTTTTTTTTTCTAAATGTAAAGGGATAGTTCATCCATGAAAAGAAAATGTACTCACTTGTTTGAGTTTCTTTCTTTAACTGAACACAAAAGAAGATATTTTGAAAAATGTTGGAAACTGGTAGCCATTGATACGCATACTAGAAAACAAAAAAGCCAATGGCTAATGATTTTGAAAATTCTTCAAAATATATTTTTTTATTATTATTTATTTTTTGTTCAACAGACAAAATCATTTTTGAGTATGTGGAGGGTGAGTAAATGAAGACAGAATTGTCTAAGTAAATAAACTATATATTTAATGAACTTAAAGATTTGACTCTTTTAAATAAATAAAAATATCACTGACTGACTTTTAAAAGGAAGTGTATCTGCAGCCGGCTAATAAATAATACAAAATGGTTAGATTATTATCATGCAATATAATTATATGTATAATCTTACTTTGATATAATGCACCATCTGAAGGTTGAAGAGGTCTGTTGAGCTCTCCAGTATGAGGGTGGAGCCCATGTTTGAGGTGGTGTTGTGAAGGTCGAAGATGACATCATACGCATCCGAGCCTCCTTTGGGTCCGAACATCTGATTGATTTCCTTGGCTCTCTGGACTTCATATGGCAGCGCTTCCAATTCTGAAGCACTGTTGATGCAAAAAAAAAAAATAAAAAAAAATAAAAAAAACCTTATCAATTTTAATAAAGCAACAATTAAGTACAAGATATAAAGAAGTTGATTAATAAAACAGGACAGGCAAAAATGGAAAGTTCCTCACCATTAACTCACATTCAAGTGGTTCTAAGTTTGTAACAATTTCTTTTAATGCTGAACACAAAAAAAATCTGAAAAATGTTGAAAAAAAGCTTCCACTGGCATCATCAGTAGGAACGAAATATACTATGAAAGTCAATATTCCACTGTTCTTCGAAATATCTTTACTTGTGTTCAATAGAAGAATGAAACTTAAATGGGTTTGGAAAAAGTAGAGGGTGAGTAAATTATGACTTATAATGTCTGGGTGCACTTTCCCTTTAAAACATGGTCGCAGTCTATTGCAAATAATATGATGCTTAAAGGGAAAGTTCACCAAATGCAAATGCATCATCACTTACTCATCCTCCACTTGTTTCAAACATATTTGAGCTTCTTTCTTCTGTTGAACACAAAAACAGATATTTTAAAGAATGCTGCATTTGACTTACATAGTAGCCGTTTTTTATTACTATGGATGTCTATGGATCTAGCAGCTCCTTTAAAACACCTTCATTTGTGTTTAACAGATAAAAAAAACACATAATAGTTTGAAGTACACTTTCATTTTTGGGTGAACTATGCCTTTAAGGACTAATCCCACTTCAGCTAGTTAATCCTGGGGTAATCCGATACCCCATGTAAACAATATTCTACATAGGTTGATTCATGTTTCACATTGCTCGGCATCTGCAGAGTTAAAAACAGTTTTTCATTAACTGAGGTAAAAACTTCATAAACTGTGCCCTGTGTGAACACAAGTGTGAACTATCTATTCTTTAGCCTCAGTTAAAATCAAGGTTTAGAACAATGATAACCCAGAGTTCAGTGCAATGTTAGAAGTTCAAACCAAACCAAGACATTTTTCCAAATGGAAAGTAGCATGCTGGTAACTGATTTAACACAGTTTTTTTTTTTTTACCCCAGATTATGAAAAACAGATTATGAACAATGTGAGACATGAAACTAAGTAGGTAGGGTAGTGTTTACATGGGGTACAGAATAACACCAGGGTTACCTAACTGAATTTAATGTATAGTTCACCCAAAAATGAAAATGTTCTCCAGATATGGGTGTTAAAACCTCTAAAATAGCAGCTGCGCTGTAAGTGAAGTGTTAAAGCAGCTGTTGACATCCATAGTATGAACAAAAAATGGAAATACTTGAAGTCAATGGTTGCTTTTTCCCAACATTCTTCAGTTTATCTTCCTTTCAACAGAAACCTAAACCAGTTTAGAACAAGTAGAGAATGTATAGATTATGACCGAATAAAAATTTTTTTTGGGTGAACTCTCCCTTTAAATCTTTTAACAAAGCAGTAAAGGTCAAAGAAACTGCCATTACATACATCATTTGTAATTTAATTACTAATTAAATGTACTATAGAGGGAGCATTCGTTTTACTGTTTAAAAACATATTCCTACTGTAAAAGGTAACAAAATAATAAGAATTACTGTTAATAATTTATTACTACTTTTTTTATAATATTTATTATTGTAGCTAAGAATTAAAAAGTTGCAGAGGTTCTTAAAACAAGCTCACAAAGCCAGAGAAGACATACAAGTAACGCTTGGTAAAAATTCATCAAGCTTTCCAACTGGCCAAAAAATAAATAAATAAAAGCACAAAAACAATCAACAGTCGGCCGCTGACATCTGTTGTGTATGTTTTGCAGCTCTTCTCAGTACATTATATATGCAGTGTAGACTGATTGTGTTTCAGTAAGCAAACTCTAGTTTTTTTATATTCCTCCAAGTCATATCAGTCATTGCATCAATTTGCAATCGATGTGTATTAAAATATTTCATTCAAGATAGATGGAGTCAATTTGTGCAACACTGAAGCAGAGCAAATCCTGTTCGATTCAGAAGCAGGAGCTGTCATTTGTGTGTTTATGTTTATTTTGTCAAAGATGAAAGTAAAGTGATCTGTACTTATGAAAATTAAATCTATAATTATATTTATGATTTATATATAAATTACCTGTCATTACCTTTATTACCAGTTATTTACAGTCTATGCATGTTCTGTTCACTAAAGTAGACATCAATGGGGGGCGGGCACCTCTCGCTAGTAAACAAACAGTGTGTCAGTTCATGTGATTTCACAACCACAAAAACATCATTACATTAAGATAGAAATGCCATTTTGGGGTAGTCTATACCTTATAACCGTATGTGACAAGTTTAATGCTATTTGGAGGTGTCCATGTTGCTGAGCAATGTATATAAAACAATGTAAAGACTTGTGTGAGCGCCTTTACACTTCTTTCCTGAAGCTTTTCTATCGTAGAAAAGCTGAATTAAGATCGTGTGGGGGGTCCAATCAAGATGGCAATCTTTTTTCGATTAATCGAGCAGCCAATATATATATATATATGTATTGAAGAATAGTTGAAAAGTATAAATATTTAAAAAGAAAATTAATTCACATTTTGAGGGTGTGTTGTGATCCATAAATATGACCACAATTTTGTACAATCATAGAAATGTGCCTACCCATGAAGGTGGTTAGATTCTAATTAATATAGTCGCTAAAAATGCATGTTGACAAAAGGTCAACTTGTGTTTAGCGATCTTTATTAATGTTCAGTAGGCTACTAAAGACTTGGAATATTCATAAATGCACTACTGTAAAAATAAATAATGACTTCACTAAAAAATAACAACAGTTTACTCACCCTTAAGTGATTCCAAACCTTTATGAGATTCTTTCTTCTGTTGAACACAATGGAAGATATTTTGATGAAGGTTGAAAACCAGCATCCATTGACTGTCTTCCATAGTAAATTAAATACTATGGAATGTTTACATTTTGTATTATTCTTCAAAATACCCTCCCTTAAGTTTAATAGAAGAAAGAAAAACTCAAACAGGTTTGGAGTGAGTAAATAAAAGACAACCGAATTTTCATTTTTGTGGTGAACTGTCTCTTTAAGACATTAGGGCCAAGGGCAAATTTGTAATACCTGTGTATTTCTAACCCAAACTATAATAATGTGTGCAAAATAACACAATTAAGCCAAAAATCGATTTTTTGAATAATCAAAGGGTTAACTTTGCAACATAATCCTGGAAAACAACCTGTGTTTACGCGCTGTATAGGATGCAGCGCTATTCAGGCTCTTCATGACCCAAATCACGCTTCACTCACGTTTCCCAACAGTCATGACATGAGCGGCTGAGATCAGCTGACCGCCCTGCAAATACTCTGTCATGTAAAGGGGCTGTTTACACAGGACGTGTCCGAATAACAGCTCGACTGAGCTTCAATGGAGCAGAATCCAGCACTCCTGCAATATTTCAGTCTAAAAACACGTCACGAGACGCGAACACAGCGACATAACAACACGAGACGACCTGATAAATGCATGACAACAACATAACAAACCACAAACGCGAGTGTAGCGCGCGAGTGTAAAAGTTTCACCACGGAAATTTCCATTGCTTATACGTAGGCTAACTAAATCTAAACTGCTATTCATAAACAAACGGCCAGTGCAGAAAACTGCGATGTTTACCTGAAGACTAAACGAATGAAGGTGTATTTTTCTGTTACTACACCTCTCCATTAACAAAGATATGCTATAACGTGTGTGATGCGTCTGTTTTTAATGCTAGCCATTTCAGATTAATATAACATCCTAATTTAATCATTTAATGATTAATACTAGCCCTTAATATAACGATATGGAGCAAACACATTGCTCCTGCAGTAATAAATCAGCCTAAAAACACGACATAAGACGCGAACATAGCGGAAATACAAGACGAGACGACCTGACATATGCATGACAACACACGACAACAACATAATAGTAGACCTTAAACACACGCAAAACTCAAAAGTTCACCTCAGAATGAAAGCCATTGTTGTTCAACACTTACAGACTACATAAACAAGAGCGCGCCGTGCAGAAAACAGGCGGTGTTTACCTGAGATTCTCCGGCGTGAAGGCTCGGTTCAGATCCGTGTCGATGTACCTGGTGCATTTCTCCACCGCTCTCGGGTTGGTTATGAACGGCTTGCACACCAATCCTTTTCGTTCGATCTCCGTTGCATTCTGTATCCACATATTTGCCAGCACGATGCCAGACATCTCGTTTCCATGCGTGCCACCGAAGATAGCCACCCGTTTGGCTTCTTGTAAACAAGAAATATTAGTACGCGAACTCATAGCGGGGCCGCGCGCAGTTCACGAGAAAGCAAAGTTTTTCCACACAACTGCCGTTTCTTCTGATCGCCGATGTGATGTGTGTGACTGCTCTTATATAATGCTTATTTTGAAGGCTGTGCTTAAGTCCCGTGCATAGCCATGTCCGTGTGTCATCTGCGTTATAAGCGCGCACGGGTCAGGTTTCAACACATTCGCGCTGTGGTTTATTGAGCGTTTGGATGGCAGCCGTGAGCATTCAAAACAGATTACACACACATAAATAATAAACAAGCAGGTAGCAAGAATAAAAGCATTCATTTGCCCCATGAAGAAACCTTTCCAGAATTCCACAAAGCTATTAAAATGCTCTCTCATCATTAAAAAATGTTGTAATAACTAATTCCCGAAATGTTCCTTAGGGAAGCCAAAAGTTAGTTAAAATACTATAATAATTTATTTTAAAATCAGTTTTGAACTGTAAAGCAAAGTATTTGAATTAAAGGGACAGTTTATAAAAATAAAATACTCCCACTACTTGTTCCAAACCTATTTCAATTCTGTTGAACACAAAAGAAGATATTTTGAAAAATGTTGGAAACCTGTAACTATTGACTTCCACATTATCCCACGATGGAAGCCAATGGTTGACAGGTTTTCAGCATTCTTCAACATATCTCATGATGTGTTCAACAGAAGAAAGAAATGTTTAAAGGGGTGAAACCTTTTGAGGATGAGTACATTTCATTTTTGGATGAACTATCCCTTTACCCTGCAAACCAATATTTTAAATATAAACATTACATATTACTACTAAGTTTTCTTGAAACATGGAGTATATTATTCTACAACAGCGATGCAGTGGCGCAGTAGGTAGTGCTGTCGCCTCACAGCAAGAAGGTCGCTGGTTCGAGCCTCGGCTGGGTCAGTTGGCGTTTCTGGTGGAGTTTGCATGTTCTGCCTGCATTCAAGTGGGTTTCCTGAGGGTGCTCCGGTTTCCCCCACAGTCTAAAGCATGCAAAACAGATGAATTGGGTAGGCTAAATTGTCCGTAGTGTATGAGTGTGAATGAGTGTGTGTGGATGTTTCCCAGAGATTGGTTGGGGCCTATAAGGGCATCCACTATGTAAAATCGTGCTGGATAAGTTGGCGGTTCATTCCAATGTGGTGACCCGATTAATAAAGGGACTAAACTGAAAAGAAAATGAATGAATGAATTATACTACAACATTAACAGTTTACTGTAGTAAAATCTCAAGTATACTAATTCAGATTATCAGTTCACTAGTTAATATTGCTGTAGCATTCACTTAAGTGTTGTAGATATTGTAACACACTATAACACAATAGTATGGTTCAAAAACACTTCTACATTTGGGCAGATTTTGGAATCTTTATATCTAAGAGTGTAATCAGTTTGTTAACTGAAAGTGAGTTATAGGTAGAAAATATTTATATGCATTTAGTGAAATATATTTAGTGCTTTCAGTGAATAGCATTTACTTCTATTTATAACTGATTACATCAACAGATACAAAATCAAAGGTCAATAGGATTTAAGTTGTTTTAATAAGGGTTTTCTGTAAAAAGATTAATTAAAATAATTCATTCATTTAACTTTGGCTTAGTCCCTTTACTCATCAAGGGTCACCACAGCAGAATGAACTGCTAACTTAAACAGCATATGTGCTAGACACTGAGCCACCATGTCGCCATATTAAAATAATAATGACTTGATATTAAATAATATCACTGTGTCATAACTTACTGAAAAGGCAATAGTAAAAATCCGCCTTACTTTTTTTCATGAAGGAACAGGTGCAAACTGAATTTGTCTATACCAGGGGTGTTCAAACTCAGTCCTGGAGGGCCGGTGTCCTGCAGATTTTAACTCCAACTTGCCTCAACACACCTGCAAAGATGTTTCTAGAAAGCCTAGTAAGAGCTTGATTCGCTAGCTCAGGTGTGTTTGATTGGGGTTGGAACTAAACTTTGTAGGACACCGGCCCTCCAGGACCAAGTTTGGACATGCCTGGTCTATATACCTTCAAAGCCCATTTGCTTCCAAATAATTTTAGGTGTTCAAAACAGCTTGCCTTGTTTCTTGACATTGCGACTAGGTAATTCCGATCATATATCTTTTATGCATTGTCAATTATAAACTCACTGTTTTGTTGTGCAGTCTTTACTATTTGCTCATTTAAATATTTTTCTCAGAATCAGAAGTCAGAGCTGTGCTAAAAATCGCAATGCAAAGCACATTTCTAAGCTTAATGGAATAGCTCATCCAAAATTGAATGTGATAAATTTTTACCTAAAATCCTGCAATCATTTACTCATCCACCACTTGTTTCAAACCTGTTTAAGTTTCTTACTTCGGTTGAACAGAAAGAAAAATATTGTGGTTCAGTTGGTTTCATATTAGCACATTCAACTTTCTCCTAAATAATATAATTTCATTAAAGTATGCTTAGCTAATTCTAAATAGTGAAATTATATTATCAGCCAACGACTACCAAAGTGCAACATTGTTTACAGTCAGTTAAATAGTACTTATGTTGTTTTGAAGACATATTTACAAGCAATTTTCAGACTGAATATTCAAAGTACCATGGTAAACAATATCCGCTAGTTAAGTGTGACGTCACGCGAAGCGGCTTCCGGGTCCAAGCGCTCTATTCAACTGAATGGGAAGACTCATGAAATGGTATTAATAAATTTTTACAAAGCGATTTAATACTTTCGAAAATTACGATCGCAATATATATGTCCATGCCTAATATCCGATGGCCAGAAAGTGATTCATTTTTTTAATAAATTGTTACATTTTTGGTATTTGTTATGCAGCAAGCCCAGAGATTGTTGTGTACACTAGGATTTTATAAAAAATTAACTTTAATGTGTGATAGGAATAAAATGTGATCATAAACTAATGATTTCTCTACTCAAATCAATGGCGGCTTGGACCCGGAAACAGTATTACATACGTCACCACTTAACAAGCGGATAGAGAGCATGTCATAAGCGGTCACTGATTGAATATGCAAATATAAAACCAACTTTATTGAGGTAAGAAAAATATACTGAAGAATGTTGGAAAATAACAGCTATTAACCTCCATAGTATTTTTTTTGTTTTTGCTATGGATGTCAATGAATTTTTTTCAACATTCTTAAGTAAGACAACAGAAGAAATACATTCATAAACGTTTTGAACCACCTGAGTAAGTAATTTTCATTTTTGGGGGAACTATCCCCTGAAGCAGCACACACTGGTGAATGATCCCATGATTTGGTTTAGAGGATAAGTCATTGACTCGTTTATAAACAGGCACATGTAGCCAGTTATGGCCCAATGATAAACATGCAGATAGAAATCAGTGAAAAAATCCCCAACAGTAAAGGATTTAAAATCATTTCAAATTACAAACCTCATTATGTGGATCAAAAGTGATCGTTCACCAAGAATAAAAGTTCTGTCATCATTTACGCATCCGTGTGCATTCCAATTGTTTTAATCCTGTGGTATATAAAAGAAGTTAGTTTGAAAAATGCTTGAAAGTGTCATTTGGTTGATTCTTGGCTTAATTCAATGGTCTCAAACTCAATTCCTGGAGCGCCACAGCTCTAAATAGTTTAGCTCCAACCACCTCCAACTCACACCTGCTCTAGTAGTCTTGAACACGTTGATTAGTTGGATCAGCTGTGTTTGATAGGGTTGGACCAAAACTGTGCAGAGCTGCGGCCCTCCAGGAATTGAGTTTGAGACCTTTGGCTTAAGTCATTAGGCTGTCAAAATTAAGTACAATTAATTCAAAGAAAAACTACTGATGTTAAATAGACTGTAAAATAATTTTCAATGTTACGTGTGCCCTGCACGTGTACAAGATCACGCTGCTCTTTCCATCCAGAGATCTAGTCTATAAAAATTAAAGAAACAAACTAAAAACAGGTCAGTTTCACATGAGCAGAAACATGTTGTTTTATTTCTCTGTTGCAGAGTAACCATAAATTGTGAATAAAAATGAACAAATTAGTAAAGGCACAATAACTCCAATGAAACACTCGTGCTAGATAAAAATACTCTGATCATAATAATAAAAAAAAGCAATGCTCTGACAACACAATGACTGAACAATTCAATAAAACATTGAAAAATGACCTGAATGACAATCATCATAAAAAAAATAAAGCCACTGATCTATAAGATCACGGATCAATCTACAAAACATCAGCAACGATATTGCACATTCATGTGTCAAAACTCTCAATTTCATCTCATTCGAAATGAAACCAAACAGAATATTACAAAAATAAAATGGTTTAAAAATTACCTCGCTGCTTTTATATTTATCATTCATGACCATTTGTCATTACCAGAGCTTCTCTTTTACATTTATAATTTCTCTTAAAGACTATGAACGGCTTATTTGTCTATTCTTGTAGCTCCAAAACCAGAACATATGAACGGATGCATAATGGGTTTTTTTCATGGTCCCTGCCATGTGTTCATTCTCAGCAGATACACCATCCTCATTATGAATGGCATACTTCCTTTATACCGCAAACATATGTATATATTTAAGAATTTTGCCTATGCAATAACTTGTTCCACGATAACTCTATTGTTCCCTTTCCTGGTTTCTATCATTAAGTCATTCTCTTCATATGCATCATGCCTTCTGTGCAACTGAACAAAGACATTAGCATGACACTCAGTTTGAACAGAACCTGTCCAGGCACCTTTGCTTCAGTTTTAGGTCATTGTGGGTGTGTAATCCGAATTTACTCCTGTAGGTGAGTCAGCTTTCATGGAAATATCCTTATTTTCCTATTATATTTTCTGTCTTCCATCCCTTTCTAATATCTATAGGAACTTGCTACCAAACAATATTGTCCTTTTTCTGTTTGATGGAGTCAGCTCACTTAATTTGTATGGTTTCTGGTTCAAAACTATACCACAGGCCTCAAACTTAATTCCTGATTTGCCCCAGCTCTGCACAGTTTTGCTCCAACCCTGATCAAACAGCTGATCCGACTAATCAAGGTGCTCAAGACTCTTTTGGACACCTTGATTATTTGGATCAGCTATGTTTGATAAAATTGGAGCGAAACTAAGCAGAGCAGCGCCCTCCAGGAATTGAGTTTGAGGCCTATCTACTATACATTTGCTTGTTTGTGACACCCTTTGGTTTCTTTGGAATGGTCTCGGGTGATTTCAACATCATTCTTTGAAAAAGTCTCAGATCCTGTTGTAAGATCAGAACTTTCCACCTCCATTTATGACGCAATCAGTTTCTGTCCTTCTTCCTCTTCCTCTCAGGTGCTTCCTGAGCATCGTGACAGCCAGAAAAACTTTGTTTCCTCTTCTTTTTGTGCTTGGTGGGATTTAATTTAGCTTCTGTAGTACTTTCTGTAGGACTCACATCCAGATCAAGGGATTTATAATGAGGTTCCTCAGTTGCATCTCTTTTTTTCTTTTTCTTCTTCACTGTTTTTATTGTCATTTCCTCAGACGTCTCTATGTGCTCAAGTTGATTGGTCTGAAGAGCTTTAAAGGCTTCATTTGATGAAATGTCTTTTAAACCACTCTCCTCGACACATCTTTTATGTTTCTTCTTCTTTTTTGTTGTCATCTCGGGTATTTGTAACTCACTGAACTGATCCGGCTCTGCAGAATGAACATCGGCCACATCAGCCTCTACATTCTCCTGCCCTTCTAATTTCTTCCTTTTCTTCTTTTTGTGTTTATCGGTATCTGTGCTGTCCAAAAACGAGGAAGAATTGAGGTCGGCAGTGTTTTCTGAAAGCAATCCAAAACTTTTATTCTCTCTTTTCCTTTTGGAAATCTTCATTAAATGTGCTGGATTTAATTCCAAACATTCTGAGGAAATGTTGTCCTTCTGTGTTTCTTCAGAGCTGTTGTGTGTAGTTGTGCGGTCTGCTTTTGCTCGTTTTTTAACATCATCAAACTGAGACACAGAACTCTCATCCAGATACTGAGGCTTATCAGTCTTATCCCTTTTATTCTTTTTCTTCTTCTCTGAATTTAATGTAGCTGCATTGGGTGACTGACATTGAGTAATTTCCTCAGAAGTCTGTACATGCTCAAGTTGATTGGTCTGAGGAGCTTTAAAAGCGTCATTTGATGAAATGTCTCGTAAACCACTCTCCTCGACACATCTTTTATGTTTCTTTTTCTTTTTTGTTGTCATCTCAGTTATTTGTAATCCACTGAACTGATCCGTCTCTGCAGAATGAAAATCGTCGGCATCAGCCTCTACATTCTCCTGCTCTTTTAATTTCTTCTTTTGCTTACTTTTCTGTTTATCGGTACGTGTGCTGTCCGAAAGCACAGAAGAACTGATGTCTGTGGAATTTCCTGACTGCAATCCAACAATGTTACCAACTTGACTTGGAGATCCTCCATTCTCTTTTTTCTTTTTCTTTTTGGAAACCTTTATCAAATGTGCTGGATTAATTTCCAGTTGTTCTGAGGAAATGTCAGCACTCTGCGTTTCTTCTGAGCTGTTTTGTATGGTTGTGCGGTCTTCTTTGGCTCGCTTTTTTAACCGAGAGACATCATCAAACTGAGACACAGAACTTGCATCCAGGCGCTGATGTTCCTTAGTCTCATCCTTTTTCTTCTTTACTGACTTTAATGTAGCTACATTAGGTGATTGACACTGAATAATTTCCTCAGACGTCTGTAGATCAGCCTCTACAATCTCCTGCTTTTTTAATTTCTTCCTTTTCTTCTTTTTGTGTTTATTGGTATCTGTGCTGTCTGAAGGCACAGAAGAACTGACGTCTGCTGAATTCCCTGACTCTAATCCAACAATGTTATCAACTTTATATGGAGAACCTGCATTTTCTCTTTTCTTTTTCTTTTTTGAAACCTTCATTGAGCCTGCTGGATTCGTTTCCAAACATTCTACAGCATTGTCATCACCTTGTGTTTCTTTAGAGCTGTTTGGTGTAAGTGTCTGGTCTTCTTTTGCTCGTGTTTTCACATCATCAAACTGAGACACAGAACTCGCATCCAGACACTGAGGTTCCACAGTCTTATCCCTTTTCTTCTTTTTCTTCTTCGCTGACTTTAATGCAGCTACATTAGGTGCTTGAAATTGAGTAATTTCCTCAGAAGTCTGAATATGCTCAAGCTGATTGGTCTGAGGAGCTTTATAAGCTTCATTTGATGAAATGTCTCGTAAACCACTCTCCTCTACACATCTTTTATGTTTCATTTTCTTTTTTGTTGTCGGTTTGGTTATTTGTAACCCACTGAACTGATCCAGCTCGACAGAATGAACATCGTCCACATCAGCCTCTGCATTCTCCTGCTCTTTTAATTTCATCCTTTTCTTCTTTTTCTGTTTATCTGTACGTTTGCTGTCCGAAAGCTGAGAAAAATTGACATCTGTGAAATTTCCTGACTGCAATCCAACAATTTTATCAACTTTATATGGAGAGCCTGCCTTCTCCCTTTTCTTTTTCCTTTTGGAAACTTTTATTAAATGCGCTGGATTCATTTCCAATTGTTCTGAGGAAATATCATCATTCTGCGTTTCTTCAGAGCTGTTTTGTGTAGTTGTGCGGTCTACTTTTGCTTGCTTTTTCAATCGAGTGACATCATCAAACTGAGACACAGAACTCGCATCCAGATACTGCGGTACCTCAGTCTCATCCCTTTTCTGCTTTTTCTTCTTCTCTGACTTTAATGTAGCTGCATTAGGTGATTGACATTGAGTAATTTCCTTAGAAGTCTGTACATGCTCAAGTTGACTGGTCTGAGGTGCTTTAATACCTTCATTTGATGAAATGTCTTTCAAAGCACACTTCTCTACACATTTTTTATGTTTCTTCTTTTTTGTTGTCGGCTCGGATATTTTTAACTCACTGAACAGATTCAGCTCTGCTGAATGAACATCGTTCGCATCTGCCTCTACATTCTCCTGCTGTTTTAATTTCTTCCATTTCTGTTTATGGGTACATGTGCTGTACAAAATCTCAGAAGAATTGATGTCTATGGAATTTCCTGGCTGCATTTCATTGATGTTTTCAAGTTGATATGGGGAACCTCCATTCTCCAGTGCAGCTACATTAGGTGATTGACATTGACTAATTTCCTCAGAAGTCTGTATATGCTGAAGTAGATTGGTTGGAGGGGCTTTAAAAGCTTCATGTGATGAAACGCCTCGCAAACAACGCTGCTCTTCACATCTTTTATGCTTCCTTTTCTTTTTTGTTGTCATCTCAGTTATTTGTAACCCACTGAACTGATCCGGGTCAACAGAATGAACATCGTCCCCTTCAGCCTCTACATTCTCCTGCTCTTTTAATGTCTTCCTTTTCTTCTTTTTGTGTTTATTGGTATCTGTGCTGTCCGAAAGCACAGAAGAATTGACGTCTGTGGAACTTCCTGACTGCAATCCAATGATGTTATCAAGTTGAACTATCCCTGCATTCTCCCTTTTCTTTTTCTTTTTGGAAACCTTTATTAAGCCTGCTGGATTCATTTCCAAATGTTCCACAGCATTGCCATCACCCTGCGATTCTTCAGTGTGGTTCTGTGTAGTTGTCCGGTCTTCTTTTGCTAAACTCAAATCCAGATCAATGGATTCATACTGAGGATCTTTAGTCTTATTCTTTTTTTTCTTTTTCTTCTTCGCCGATTTTGACGCAGCAACATTAGGTGACTGACCTTTAATTTCCTCAGAGGTCTGTATGTGCTCAAGTTGATCAGTCTGAGAATCTTTAAAAGCTTCACTTGACAAGATTCCTTTTAAGTCATTCTCCTCTACATTTGCTTGCTTTGTCCTCTTTTTATCTTTCTTCCTTTTTGTTTTTGTTTTCATCTCAGTTATTTGTAACCCACTGAACTGATCCGGCTCAACAGAATGAACGTTGTCCCCAACATTCTCCAGCTCTTTTAATTTCTGCTTTTTCTTCCTTTTCTGTTTACTGGTATGCTGGAATTCTTTTGCTGTCCCATTCGACCCATTAAACTGAGACCCAGAACTCACATCCAGATTTGTATCAACAGATTTTTTATTCTTTTTCTTATTTGAGCTTAATCTGGGTGATGGACATCTTGTCATTTCTTCTGATGTCTGTAAATGCTCAATATTATCAGACTGAATAGTGTTACTCTCTCTCATTTCCGAAGAGAAACCATCTAAGGGTTTCAAAACTGCATCAGATGAGCTAACTCCTGTTCTATCCTGGTCTTTTTGTTTTTTATTTGTAATTCTTTTTGAAGGCAAATCCATGGCTCGTAACTCAATGGACTGAAATGGCTGCACATTGTCATCAACTTTTGAAGTAAGCTGTGTGTCAGTTTGCTCTATTAATTTATTTTTTATCTTCTTCTTTTTCCGTATATCAGTATGCGTGCGGTCCAAAAGCACAGAATTGGCATCTGACTGCAGTCCAACAATGTTATCAACTTGAGATGAAGGACTTGTATTATCACTTTTATTAGTGGAAACTAAATGTGCTGGGTTAGTTTCTAAACCTTCTGAGGAAATGGCATCACTCTGCTTTTCTTCAATGCTGTTTCGTGGAGCTGTCCGGTCTTCTTTTGAAGCCTCTTTCAACCCATCAAACTGAGATCCAGAACTTGCATCCAGATTTGGATCAACAGATGTTTTCTCCATTTTCTTTGCTAAGCTTAATCTGGTTAAACGGGGAAATGAACGTCTGGTCACTTTTTCTGATGTCTGTAAATACTCAATCTGATTGGTCTGAATTGTGTTCTTCTTTCTCATTTCTGGAGGTCTATCATCCATGCGTTTCAAAAGTGCATCTGAGCTAACTCCTGTTCTCTCTTTGTCTTTTTGTTTATTTTTAGTTCTTTTTATAGACAAATCCATGTTTTGTGAAAATGTCCAGTCTTCTTTTGCCATGCTATTCAACCCATCAAACTGAGACCCAGAACTTGCATCCAAATTTGAATCAACAGATGTTTTCATCCATTTCTTTGCAAAACTTAATCTGGTTACACGAGGTGATGAACGTCTTTCCACTTTTTCTGATGTCTGTAAATGCTCAATCTGATTGGTCTGAATTGTGTTATTCTCTCTCATTTCTAGAGGTCTATCATCCGTGTGCTTCAAAAGTTCATCAGATGACCCAACTCCTGTTCCTTCCATGTTTTTGTTGGTTTTTGGCAAATCTGTAGTCTTTAACTTATTGACAACAATGCACAGTTGTTTCAATCCAAAAGCTAAAGCAAGCTCTTTGTAGGTTTGCTCTTTTAATTGACCCTCTCTCAGTGTATTCATGTGCGTGTGATCTAAAAGCACAGAAGAATTGACATTTGCGATGTTCTCAACTTGAGATGGAGGACCTACTGAATTATTTTCCAACTGTTCTGAGGAAATCTGCTTTTCTTTAGTGGTATTTTGTGTAATTGCCTGGTCTTCATTTGCTTTGAACCCATCAAACTGAAACACAGAACTTGCATCCAGATTTGGATGAACAGATGTTTTCTCTCTTTTCTTATCGGAGCTTAATCTGGGTGATGAACATCTTGTCACTTCTTCCGATGTCTGTAAATGCTCAATCTGATCGGTCTGAATTGTGTTATTCTCTTTCATTCCTGGAGTTCTGTCATCCATGTGCTCCAAAAGTGCATCAGATGAGCTAACTCCTGTTCTTTCCATGTGTTTATCGGTTTTTGGCAAATCAATAGTTTGTAATTTGCTGCCGACAACGTGCAGTTGCTTCAAATCTGAACTCTGATCAGTGTCATTTTGACATTTCAATTTCTTCTTTTTCTGTTTATTGGTATGTGTGCTGTCCAAAAGCACAGAATCTGTAGTTTGTAACCTATCAGTCTGAAAAAATTGCACATTGTGGTCAAAATCAAAATCAAGCTTGGGGTCAGTTTTCTCTTTTAATTTGTGCTTTTTCTTCTTCTTTTTTTTCTTTTTAATCGTTAAGCTTTCCAAGCCATCTAAATCCAAATTTGCTGGTTTTGCTCCACTATCTGACCTTTGTTTATCCAATCCAATGTCATGATCAACTTGAAAACTTGTGTCCTGAATTTTCTTTTTGCCTTTGGCAACCTTCATTGCTTTACCCTGCAAACGTTCATCTCTCTCAGCTTCTTCAGTGACCAAACCTTCCTGTTGTTCATCGATTCTGAGACCAACATCAAACTGAGATGCTAAGGTAACATCCAGACCAACAGATTCATAAAGAGGGTCATCCGTCTCATGGCGTGTCGTCTTCTTTTTTAATTCAGTTTCACCAGTAATTTCCTCTGAGGTCTGTACACATGTTGGTTGATCAGTGTTAAGGGATTGACTTGATTGATTCACTTCTTTTACTCTCAACTCTGCGGAGTCGAATCCTTCATTTGATTGGATGTTTGTAAGATTATTTTCCTCTGGATATGATGTTGCTATTCTCTCTTTGTCCTTTTTCTTCTTTTTGGCTTTTTTGGATGTCTCAACCAACTGATTCTCTACAGCCTCACACTCTTTTACCTTATACTTTTTCATCTTTTCCCTCTTACTCTTTGTGCTAACACTGTTGACCGCAGATAAAACACTTTCCTCCAAGAGCTCCTTTGACTTTAAACCCAATTCTTCGGTTTGTTCTCCAATTGCCATTTCATGTTCCACTCCACATGCTTCAATGTTCTCTATGGGTATTGCTTTAAGTCCTGTGATGTCATCACCAGGACAATTCACCATCTGACCAACATCCCCATTGGTATCATGTTGTTTGAAATCAGCAGCAGCATTTTTATCTTTCGTTCTCTTTCTTTTTCTTTTAAGAAAACTCGGTCCAGTGATTTTAAACATCGGACTATCGGTTTCAGTCTCAACCATTGTTTTTTGTCGACCTACGATAGCACTTTCACATGGACTTGTGGGGACTTCACTTAATGGTACATTAGATAGTGGTAAATGTTTAGGAGATAGTTGCACATTCACGGTCTCCGCTTGCCTTGAGGGTGGTTTAGGACTCTGAACTCTAAACTGTGGGATTTCAGGGTGTTTAGTACTGGTAAACTGTTTGTTTGGTGTTCTTGGCTCAAACCTGGACAAAGATTCAGTGTCTATGTGTGTTTCATCACTGTCATATTCCTCATTTGCAAAACATTTCTGTGTTTCTTGTGTAAATGTTGACACATGTTGTCCTTCACTCTCTATCTGTGTCACATCACTGTCTTGATCGTTTTCCTCCACGTTTGCTGTAATAGATGTGGTATTAGGAATTTGATCGTCTCGCTTTGGACTGTTCAATGGGCTGAATAAATCCACGGAGCCGATGTCACTGTCAGTCTGTTGAGTATCACTCTGCGTGGAAATATCTCCCTCTTGGGGTGGACCAATGAAATTGCTTTCATTGGGTTGGTCAACATCCGGCTGATTTTTACAGTTAAGGTCATCCTCGTGCTCCAAATGAGCCGATGCTTCTTCTACAGTTTGTCTCTGTGTCTCCTCGATAACCACATTATGATCTTCATGTGAATTTTCAGCACATTCGACACCCTCAAAATCTTCATGATCTGAACAGGAAGCTAAAACCTCATGCGTGTCTTGTTTTTTCGGTTTCTTGGACACCTGGGATGATTTTGATAATGCCTTGGCTGAAGTTCTCTTTGGATGTCTCTTTCGTTTTCTGTACTCGACAACTTTACAGTTAAGGTCATCCTCGTGCTCCAAATGAGCCGATGCTTCTTCTACAGTTTGTCTCTGTGTCTCCTCGATAACCACTTTATGACCTTCATGTGAATTTTCAGCACATTCGGCAATCTCAAGATCTTCATGATCTGAACAAGAAGCTAAAACCTCATGCGTGTCTTGTTTTTTCGGCTTCTTGAACACCTGGGATGATTTTGATAATGCCTTGGCTGAAGTTCTCTGTGGATGTTGATTTCGTTGTCTGTACTCGATAATTTGTTCTGTTTTCTTTTCCTTGTCAACGCCATTTGATAAATAGTTTTCCAGAGTCCTTCTCTCCCTGATAAAGTCTGGCAACCATTTGAAGTTGATTCCTCTTTTGTAACCTGGAACAAAAAGGGCTTTATCCTGAAATAAAGCCAAACGAAAACAACTGATTACTGTATTGTTATAAAATGTATGAAATATATTTTTGAAACCATAATAATTGTTTTATGAAACTTTTATTATGTAAGGGTGCTTTCACATCTGTGGTCCGAACCATGGACAACAAATGATACATTGTTGCATTTTTCTGCTGTTTTTGGGTCCTTTTCACACCACACTGATTGCTTTGGTCCGAAACAGTCGCCAAAGTGCAGTAATGTGACAAAATCTACATCACTCATTGGCCAGATGTTATTGAATGTATTTCCCAAACTGCTTTTCGATTAGTCAGATTTAACATGGGGGAAGATGCCAATGGAATGCCAAACCAGCAGACACGAAATGTTAATTTTTACTATGAATAAGACGACTGCGTTGGCTGATTGTATCCCTGCTCATAGTATACTATGTAGTCTGTATAAATCACTTTAGACAAACTATACATTTCGAGGATGAAGCGCGGCTGTGGCTGGAAAACAATGTTTTAATGCATTGTAAACGCAGAAGGCCCATCGCAAGTCACTTCAGGAGGTGGCGTGAATTAAATTTTGCTAAGCTGTGACATGGTCAACTTTCAGAAATATTACCAACGATCCATCAGGTAAAGTTTTTCCCCTCTATCTCTCTCTGTTAAAAAAAAAAATCTGTCAACAAAAATTTTTCATCGACATATCATAATGCACAACATATCGGAATACGGCAGCTTTAATAGTCCAAAAAGGTGCAGTCCTTTTTGCGGTTGGGTCTGTTCTAGTTTGGATCATGTTCTCACCACAATAGAATCGCTCCAGGGTTCGTTTAATAGCGTATCGAGGCGATCTCTTCAAAGAGACAGTTTTTTTGTTTTTGGTCTGCTTTTGGTGCGCACTCAAGTGCGATTGCTACATTCACACCTGCCCAAACGAACAGCACCAAGAGGGAAAACAAACCCTAGTTTGATTTAAACGAACTAAACAAGGCAGGTGTGAAAGCACCCTAAAATTAACGACACTAGATTGCCTACATTTTGGGGGACCGCTCCAAGTAATTAATTTAGGTGTATAAAATCAAATATCTAGGCATGCAGACTGCTTAAACCTGGTTTATACTCAACGCATCCGCTAGTTCGCTTGAGTGCGTGTGCTAATATCCCCCACCCAGAGCAAATGCATCACTGCCGTCTGTGTGTGGCAGTCTTACTAGCCAATTGAGTGAGCACACTTTCATTCTGCCCAATCAGAATTGCGTGACCGAACTATGCAGAAAGCCCAAAAAACAAACAAACTAACAAACGAACGAATGAACAAACAAACAGGAAAGCACGGATAAGTGGGATGATGGCGTCTGCCCCTTCAGAAGCATTAATAGATGAATTTATATCAAAGAAAAACAGGACATAGGTAATATGGGAATTTCAGACGTAGCAGACAACGAACAAAAACAGGTCATTTGTAAGAGCTGTCGCAGAATTGTTGCCACAGCACAAGCAAATACAACAACCAGCACCTAAAAAAGCACCACAGGCAGCCATATGAGAAGTGCCTTGCTAAAAAATCAACTAAAAGTATTGGCAGTGACACTCAATCTAGTAGGGAGCAACAACAAAGTACAATTTCAGAGCGAACTAATGCCATCCCTCACTACTGTTTGCTCTAGAGAAAAATGAGTGTTTAATTTCTGAATACTTCTAAACAAATTTGAATTAAAGTTGGAGTTTGTTAATATCTTTTAAAGTTCCTTTTTTTAACTAACACTCACTGCATTTTAGCAATACAGAATATTAAGCTGAAGCTTTACTACAAAATTAAATTGCAAATCAAATCGTAATCGCATATTAGATGCTTCCCCCAAATTACACAGCCCTACCTCCAATGATATCTACTTTAGTGAACAGACCCTGCATAGGCTGTTAATAACGACAAATAATGCTTTAAATAACATTCAGTTTGTTGCAAACTGAACTTAAAGTTACGACAGCCATGACATGAGCGCACTCGGCAGTGAAAAGTGAAACCGAAAGTGTGCACATCATTTAAATAATCATATTGCATTTCAGAGTCATCATTACGACAAACATTTGGTATGTTTTTTTCTTTCATAGCAAACACAAAGGCCCGGTTTACACTGTCAGGTCTTGATGCCTGATTCCGATTTGCTGCCTATATCTGATTTTTTTTGCCTGTCCATTTACACGTTCTTTTTATTGTGACCCAAATCCGATTCATGGGTTTACACTTGCCATACAATTTACAGTGTTGCGCATGCCTAAAGGCGGGTTCTAGCATCTGCGCCACACAAGCCACAATGGAAGAAATTGTTGTTTTTAGCTCTGCAAAATATGTGAACTTCACCCAACTTTAAAATCTTTTTGAGGTGGAGGAGGGAAAAGGGTCGTCATCGCAACTTGCGACTATGGTTTATATATGGTGTCCTCCACCATTCAGAGGAATTTGTGGGTATGAGTGAGATCTCAGGTCTGGTGGGAGCAAATTGTGGCAACTGACCACTTTCCTTCTCAGTGTTTCCTCTGTTGTTGTTTACCCCGTCGACATCTCCACACACGCTCTACAACGTCATTAAACTGTGGAGAAATACCACAATGTCACAAGTTTGATGACGTACAAAATGAAATGCCTCAATAAATCCGATCTGCCTCTTTACATGATGGTCGCATTGTCACATTTCTGATTTATATCCACATATAAGCTTGAAACTGATCTCTGAATATCCAAATGCATGCATTTTTCGTGTTTACACGATCATACAGATCCAATTTGTGTCAAACGAGCAAAAAAAAAAATCAGAATTGGGTCACATTTAACTGGCAGTGTATACAGGGCCAAAGTGTTGTGCATGAAAATAAATGTTTACTGGGTCAGTATAACTACTACATATAATGCCTATATAAATGTTAAATATAATGTCAAATGGCTCGTATTACCAGTAAATAAAATAGTCTAATAGTTTTTTCAAGGACAAATGACAAGCATATAAGTCTCAAACATAATAATTCAACTTCCGAATTATGAATAGTTAAATTCTGATGTCATCACTTAACTGTGAATTAGCAAACAGGACAAAGTTAAAGTCTATTCAAGTCCACCATCACAAGTCTTTACAAAATGTAGCATTTTAAAAAACAGCAAAGCTACATGTTTTACCATACTTTGAGAATTACAGTAATAATAGCCTACTCATATTAATCTTTATTTTACATCTACAGAATCGTGAAAAAATCGTGATCTTGATTTTAAGCCAAGAAAAAAAATTGTGATTCTCATTTTAGCCAGAATCGTGCAGCTCTAATTGCATTATTATACATCTCCACAGAAAAGACATACCACTGATATGACGTCATGCTCACTATTTTGGTCCTCTTCCTCTGATGAATCACTTATCCTAAAATTACAGTATTTAAATTAAAAATGGTCAAGCGTAAATGTACAATTATATGTGTTTGGTTTGTTTTATATGAGGACTTACGGAGACTGAAACAAGTGTGAACTGATCACTTTTCCCATCTTCACAGAACCGGTCTTGATTTTCTTAATACATTTGAAGAACCCACCAACTTCTGAATTCTAAAAAAACAAAAACAATAAAACAACAAAATTGTCACGTATACAAATAAATAAATTAACAACCATCATTTAATTACGTATTAAAGAGCCCCTATTATGGGTTTTTAAAAATGAACTTCCATGCAATGTGTAACGCAGCTCTGAGTGTAGTGAAATATCCAGCTAAAGCTTAAATCTGAAAGTGCAGTGTTTAAAACTATTGATTCATCTATAAAAGAGTCGACTCGGATTTGTTTAAGTGAATTGTTGGGGTAACGAATCTTTAGCCGTGTTGGCGTGACGTCAATACAGAACTCATGCCGCTCCCATTTCCCAACCCAGGAAAATTGAAACCCCCTGCCCCGCCCACAAACACTATAGAAAGAAAAAGAGTAAGACAAACACTGTAGCAGATCCCGGTTTAATCATGTCACGAAGACGCTGTGCTCTGAAGTGTGAGGGAAAGTTGGTGTTATTTTCCCTACCCTAAGATGAGGCTGTGAAGAGTCAGTGGTTGAAGTTTATTTTTGCAAAAACATTCAGCATTATAGCCCCAGCCTTGTGCTGTGTTCCTGTCATTTTTCTGACGAGTGCTTTAGCAATTAAGAATTATTTTGCTAAATAGTTTTAGCAAACTATTTCCTACCATTTTGTCAAATTGCTTTATTTACACGTTTAAACGGTTTTTTCACAGTTTTATAAATAATAAAAATACTTTGAACTAGAAATTAGGACTTTAAATTTTTAGAATAAAGAAATGAAGAGTACAGATGCCAAAACCTCTAAATGCCATGTAAAATGAGCATTTTTCTCAGCCTTGTATATTTATGTTCCGTTATTTCACTTTAAAGGCAATGAAAATAACGTATTTGTCACTATAAAAGGTAAATCACTGTGTCCACACACAGAAGTTGGAGAAAAATGCTCATTTTAGAAGAAAATATTAAATGGCATTCAGAGGTTTTTGCATCTAAAGTCTTCAAATATGTAAATATACTTATTTTTTAAATACAATTTTATAATTATAATTTTCTTTGGGACATCTGTTAACTTGATTTAAATTAAAAACTGAAGCCTAGGCAAATAACAAACTGGCCAGCGTATTCAACCTTCCTCAGTGAGAATTTAGCCATTTGAGTAATGAAATAAATTCAAACATAATAATAATAATCCAACTTTTGGTCTTTCAAACCACCTGACCCTCTTTGGCTACGCGCATGACTAATAGCAGTTAAATAATAAATAGCAATATATATATATATATATATATATATATATATATATATATATATATATAAACAATATTCATTCTTGGCGGGGGTGACTCGTCCCCAGTCCCCACCAATGTCAAGCGCAAACCTACGCCCTTGATTTACACGCTTATCATGTTAAAGGAAAGAAAAGACTATTGATGTATTTTTCCCCCATTTCACAAGTGTAAGTATGTGCGATTAAAATGGTTGCCTCATTGTTTTCCATAACTTGCAAAACTACTTGTTACTTTGTTACTTGTTACCGCTCCATGTGGCTTGTACTATATCTGGTTAACTTTATATTCTCATATCGCATCTAAAACCAAGTTGGAAATGCAACACGTCCTGCTTTCTTTACGGATTTAAACGTATTTGTGATCTCATGATCCTCTGCCATTTGTCTTTGCTATGGCCACCGTCAGCTGTTTCTACACGCGTATGGCGGTCAAGTTTCGAAATAGTTCAGCTTTTGCCACTGTGTGAATTAATACTGAATGTGTGTCATGGTTAGGAATAGAGTAATATGCTAGTGTTAAACTGCATTGGGCCATGGTGGGTGATTCTATCTGTCTCGGGCTAAACGTAGTCGACTAATTGTAACAGACTGGGTCATCGGACCAATCAGCGCAGATCAGCATCACGCTGAGGAGGGGTTTGGGAATAAATGAAATCGCTGAACGAATAATATGGGAGTCGTTGGGATAATTAGGTAAAAATAAATGCCCTACTGTTAACGATGTCTAGTTTAGTGAACAGAACCTGCATAGACTGTTCATAACAGGTAATAATGTTTTAAATCACATTCAGTTTGTTGCAAATTGAACTCAAAAGTTATGACAGAAATGACATGAGCACATTCGGTAGTGAAAAGTGAAACCGAAAGAGCGCATATCATTTAAATAATTATATCACATTTTAGAGTCATGACTACGACAAACATTTGATAGGTTTTTTCTTTCATAGCGAACACAAAGGCCCCATTTAAACTGTCAGCTCTTGATGCCCAACTCCGATTTGCTGTCTATAATTGATTTTTGTTTGCCTGTCCATTTACATATTCTTTTAATTGTGACCCATATCTGATGGGTTTACATTGTGTTTACATTTGCCATACACTTTACAGTTTTGTCTATGCGTAAATGTGGGTTTAAACATCTGCGCCACACAAGCCACGATGGAAGAAATTGTCTTGTTTTTAGCTCTGCGAAATATGCGAACTTCACCCAACTTTAAAATCATTTTGAGCTGGAGGAAGAGGGGAAAGGGTCGTCATCGCAGCTTGCGACTATTGTTTATATATGGTGTCCTCCACCATTCAGAGGAATTTGTGGGTATAAGAGAGATCTCAGGTAGGGTGGGAGCAAATTGTGGCGACTGACCACTTTCCTTCTCAGTGTTTCCTCTGTTGTTGTTTACACGCTAAAGGAGGGGTTTGGGAATAAATTAAATCGCTGAACGAATAATATGGGAGTCGTTGGGATAATTAGGTAAAAATAAACCAAAATATGACCCCTTTTAATGCATAATAAGAGCTCTTTAAACAGTAATATCATAATATATTATAAATAAATAAATAAATTATAAAATGACATGCATAAACAGCACATGAATAAAACCCCACCTCCAGAATCTGGTGCTTCCTAATAGGCAGATGTTGTGTTTTGAGTGATTTCATCAAAAAGGGAAACGTAGCTTTGCGAGCGGAGGCATACATCTCCCATTTTGATCTTTTGCGGCGTGAAGAACGTAGACTTCTGCTTTCCTCCTCACATTCAGTCTGTTGGTTCTCCGAGAGTCTCCTTTCTCTCACATACCCGGAGTCATCAGAGATGGAGTCTGGTTTCTTAGATGATCGGAGTCGTCTTTTAGTGTGAACTACTTTCGTCACAGACTGTGTTATAAACAGGCTTTCAGAGTCACTGTAGAGGAGAATGCAGAAGATACAGTACTTGAGAAAACATGCGTATATTATATTACAAACATAACATTCATTCATTCATTCATTTTCCTTTTGCTTAGTCCCTTATTTATCAGGGGTCGCCACAGCGCATTGAACCACCAACTATTCCGGCATATTCTTTTTCACAGCGGATGCCTTTCCAGCTGCAACCCAGTACTGGGAAACACCCATACACTCTCGCATTCACACACACATTCACACAATTAAAAAATAAAATCGTTAGTAAATACTTCAAGGCCTAATTTTACAAGCGGGAACCATTTATAAAACATAAAATTCCCTGACTTATAATGACTGGAATATACAATTTTAAAAATGAATTGAGGTAAAGTTGAGGGTGGCGTGGTGTGGCGCAGTGGGTATCGCTGTCGCATCACAGCAAGAAGGTCGCTGGTTCGAGCCTCGGCTGGGTCAGTTGGCATACTGTGTGGAGTTTGCATGTTCTCCCTGTGTTCGCGTGGGTTTCCTCTGGGTGCTTCGGTTTCCCCCACAGGTCCAAAGAAATGCGCTATAGGAGAATTGGGTAAGCTAAATTGTCCGCAGCGTACGTGCGTAAAACATATGCTGGATAAGTTTGCGGTTCATTCCGCTGTGGCAATCCCTGATTAATAAAGGGACTTTAGCCAAAAAGAAAATGAACGAATGAGGTAAAGTTGGTTTTATAATCGCAAATTCATTCTATGACAACTTGTGACCAGCTCTGTATATTGTTTCCCTAGTAGCAAAGAATTCTGGCCCAGATTTGGCATAAAGCTGGCACAGCAGGCATACATCCGGCACTGGCATACAGCATGTGGGCCAAACATGGCCCGGGTTTGGCAGAGGTGGCACCGTTTTTAAGGCGGCATACAAGATTTGGGCCAGATGTAAAACGTAGTATTTTTCCCAGATTTAAAAATTTGATAAGTGGGCCATGTGAGTTTGGCCAGTCTTGACCCACATTTAAAATACACTAAAATCATTTTTGAGTAAAGAAAAAAAATTCTACCAATCAGGTCACTTTGAGAAAAAGCGTGCCCATAGTGTGCCTAAAGCGCATCACTCCATGGGTTTATCAATTTCATTGCAATCGTGACACACCAACCTATCTGGCCCAGTTCAGGCCCAGTTATGAGTTATTAACTTGGCTGAGACTTGGCCCAGATATGGTCTGTGTTTGGCCCTTGTCTGGAAGCCAGATTTGGTCCAGTCATGTACCGTAATTCACTGCGGCATGTGGGCCAAGCAAAACCTGATTGTGTGGGCCAGAGCTGGGCCAGAGAGATTTTGCTATGTGGGTTACCATGGTACCTTGAATATTTGAACTGAAATCACATGTTAATATATGAATATAACATAAGCACTATTTAATTGAGTATATGTTGCTCTTTGGTTGTATTTTACTAATATCAACATTTAGAATTTGCATAGAATACTTTAATGATATTATTAAGGTTGAGCAAGTCAAAATTAGTGAAATAGTGGATATACAACTAACTTTGCCTCAATTTAAATGACAAAATATTCCAGAATTTCCATAACACATGGGAGCCCTGCAAACATTTACGAATACCATTAACTAGTAGCTACAAGTCTTTTCTTACCTGTCTGAAGGAGGGCTGTGCACAGACGGGTCTCTTCTTATCTTCAGGGCGCTGTCGATCTCCTCAAAGCAGGCGTTGATGGAGCTGACAACATCAGGCGGCGGGGTCTCGAAGATCAGTTCCGCGCGTGGGTCAGCCTCCATCACCTCTCCAACCGACGTGTCGCCTTTGCTACGGAGATCCATATCTATATGTTTGATCTACGACAGTTGACTTTACACTTATCAGGTACTCCTAGCAAGCGACAATCGCATGATGTTCAGTGTCACTTGCTTACTCTGCCTTGACAAAAATATCCTCGTGTAGCACAGCTCTGTTTTGATATGGAGGCCGCCATGTGGTTCCGCCCAGGAAATACATCAGTTGAAAGGTTTAACGCGCATGCGCAGTGGAAGAAGAAGGACTTTTATTATTATTATTATTATTATTTTATTATTATTATTATTATTATTAACATAAGTAACTGTGATGTATTCTAAATTACACCACTAGGTGGTGCCCTGTACATAATATAATACAGTAACAGGGAATACATAAAACATTAATTTGTGCTAACATTGTGTGACCTGAATACAATTTATACATAATAATTGTAAATCTAGTAACAAAAATGATAACGTTCAAGGTATAAGAAAAAAAAACAATACAAAGAAAAACAAATATTCAAAGAAAAAAAATATTTATATATATAAATATATCTCAAACTATATTTGGATTATTAGGAATGTTACACAAGCGTACCAAAAGAGATCTGATAACTTAAAGGTAATGATCATGATGCTAATATTATTATTATTATTTTTTTTTTTTTGCAGTTCAGTTGTTTTAGCAGCTTTCTTATTTTGCGATAGGCAGACAGATTCATAATAAAGTTTCAAGTCAATACAAAATGTCCTAAAATTAGGCAAACACTGAATAACTACATTTGTGAAGATGTAACACAAAGAGTTAAATATTTTTTAACATATTTTCCATTTCTTTACAATCTAACTCCCACATCAAAAACAATAAATTAATTAATTGTCTTAAAATCAAAAAGTTTTTGTAGGCTGAGAAGACAAGCCAATATATTCCTGTCCAAAATCTTTCTACAAAATTGCATTCTAAAAATAAATGCGCTGTTGTTTTCAGGTTAGAATTACAGACTATGCATTGCGAAGAATTGTTTAAATTAAATTAAGAAGAAGCACTAGTTCAGCACAAAATGAAAATATACCTAAAATTTACTCTTTTTTTCTGCTGATCCAAAAAAGTTATTTTTTTACAAACTTTGGTAGCCACATCCATAGTAGGATACAATATGCCTACTTATAGTCTACTATGAAAATCAACGGTTTCACGTTTCCTGAAAATGTATATTTTTAAGCATAAATATACATAATAAATTTGTATAAGTGGCCCCCAAGAGACAGAGACTCTATTTATTTATTTATTTGTTTATTTATTTATTTGATTGCATGTATATCATTTATATATATTTTTTATAATAATAATAATAATAATAATAATAATAATGATAATAATAATAATAATAATAATAATATATATATATATATATATATATATATATATATATATATATATATATATATATATATATATATATATATATATATATATAGCAAATCTTACTATAGGATATTCCCATTTTAGAAAGAAAGGAGAGAAAGGAGAGGAAAAAAACAAATTAAGAACAAGAGCGGGTTTACATAACAACAACAATTACCATGTGAAACTTACCTAATAATATCAAAAGATTTAACATAAACAGGAGATTCTTATCTATATCTTTTTTGTCTAATTAAATATGACGTTTCTTTTCTTTATATTAATTCTATGACCACTCAGTAAATTAAATATACATTAAATGAAACCAGAAATGTTTAACATACACACAATTAAAACAAACAAACAAACGCAAAACAATGTCAACATCCATTCCGCAAAAAACACAAGAATTAGAAAAATCTACTTTCTTTATATCTACTGAGAACTGGTCGGTTGGATATATTTTTTGAATAGTTTTGAAGTAGATTTCACTGATTTTATTAATAATCTGAAAATAAAATGAAATACGCCATGAGCAAGGAGGAGCTACAGGGGACGGGTTTACGTTTTCTGATGACCAATCGCAGCATTTCCAAGAGTTCGTCTTTGTTTTCTGAATGGCCAGTTGCGAAGATGCCCCGCCCCTCTGGTAAGCGGAAAGAAAAACTCAATCTCATCATATGATCTGTCTGGATCCAGCATGCGTAAACCTGAGAGATCTCTCTGACAGATCAATAAACACACGCAGGGAGAAGGATGGATAACTCTGGCAAGACCGAAAAATTCCAGCTGCATGTTCCTAATCTCGAGGAGCTCTGTCAGGGTAATCATTCTATTTCGTTTTTAATTGTTGCATTACTACGGAAATTGCATGTAACGCGAGTGTATATTTAGTAAAAACGCGAATGACAAAAAGTCCAAAGTCCATGAAACTATTTTAACCGTTCTTTTAATCTCGATGAACATTAACAATGTCGATTAACATATAAAAACAATGTATACAGTAGTATGATTAATAACTGTACTGTTACAGTAAATTATATTGAAAGAAATCAAGGGTTAAGCATTTTCTGCACTCTCAGATGTACAACCACTGTGTGTGTGTGTGTGTGTGTGTGTGTGTGAGAATCTTGTCTTGAATCTTCTTGAACCATACTTCAAGAAAATTAATTATCATATTTAAATAAAAAAAATACAAATGCTAGTTTTAAATAATTTTTGCCACTATCTTTTAAATTTCTTGTTTTACTATTTTTGTCACCAATTTGTTTTTTTGCAATGAGGTGAAAATAATTTACAATAACAACATGTTGTATGATCTCAACTTGTTTTAAATATCAGTACAGTTTAGAATATGTTTAATTTATATTTAAAAATACAGTTGATGTCAGAATTATTAGCCCCCCTTTTAATTTGTTTTTCTTTTTTGTTGTTGTTGTTTTTAATATCTCCCAATTGATGTTTGACAGTGCAAGGGAATTTTCACAATATGTCTGATAATATTTCCTCCTCTGGAGAAAGTCTTATTTGTTTTATTTCAGCTAGAATAAAAGCAGTTTTAAGTTTTTTAAACACCATTTTAAGGTCAAACTTATTAGCCCCTTTAAGCTATATTTTTTGATAGTCTATAGAACAAAACCATCATTATACAATAACCTGCCTAGTTAACCTAATTAACCTAGTTAAGCCTCTAAATGTCACTTTAAGCTGTATAGAAGTGTCTTGAAAACTATCGACTCAAATATTATTTTCTGTCATCATGGCAAAGATAAAATAAATCAGTTATTAGAAACGAGTTATTAAAACTATTATGTTCAGAAATGTGTTGAAAAAATCTGCTCTCCGTATTGGGCAAAAAACTAAACGGGGACGGATAATTCAGGGGAGCTAAAAATTCAACTTCAACTTCAACTGTATATGTATTCTGCAGAATGATTGCGGAAAATATTTTAATCAGAATTTCAATATTTAATTTGAATATAGACAAATACTTTTTTTTTGCATTTAATATTTTTTGTGATATTAATTTGATTTTCAGACAAACATGCCAATTAATGAGCAGCAATTGCAACAATAATTTAAAATATATGTTGTAAAATGTGTGGTTTTGCTAATAAATGATTCATATTTATAACACAATACAATGTTTATACCAGGCCATAACACAATACAATACCAAACTAATTTTAAAATGAATAAATAAGATAAAATGATCTTTTTTTATTATTATTATTTCACAATTTTTCATGGTGCAGGCTGCAGCGCCGCCATATTTGTGATTTAAGTTGTTTGGCCAAGTTACTATTACTGCTACTGCAATAACTTGTGTTATATCACAAGTTAAAGTTAAATCACTTTGTATCACAGTGCATTCAGGCCTATTGATGTCACTATAAAGACCATGTGTATTTTTTTGGAATAAGAAAAGAACAACCAGCTGTATAACAATTTTATCAAATGTATTTCTAACTTACCCTAGCAATAATGCTTTTACAATAATCTGTTTAATCATTTACTGAGCTTCCACTGGGCACACATTTCTTCATTGTAATTTATCTATTTGTTGTGCATGTGTTTGTGTGCGTTACAGTGCTGGAATCAGGACTCAACAAGAATTTTTCAGATGTAAAAGTTTCTGTCACTGACTGTCCAGATCTTACACAGCAGCCTTTTGGGTTTCCCGTCAAAGGTAAGTACAGACAGGGGCGGACTGGCCATTTCAGACATTTCCCGGTGGACTGATGGTCAATCTTTAATCAGGCCTGCCCCACAACCACCACCCCCAACCCCCCCCTCATGTCACAGTCTGCTACTGATTACAGATGTACAGTCCACATACAGTCGAAGTGAACGTTATTAGCCGTCCTGTGAATTATTTGTTTTATTTCAGCAAAAATAAAAGACCATGTTACCATTTTAAGATCAATATTATTAGCCCCCTTAAGCAATTATTTTTTCAGATTGTCTACAGAACAAACCATCGTTTAACAATGACTTAATTAACCTAGTTAAGCCTTTAAATGTCACTTTAAGCTGAATACTAGTATCTTAATATAGTAAAATATTATGTACTGTCATCATGCAAAGATAAAAGAAGTCAGTTATTAGAAATGAGTTATTAAAACTAATATGTTTAGAAATGTGTTGAAAAATATATGTGTTGAGGCTAATAATTCAGACTTCAACTGTATTTCAGGATGTTACAGGCTTTCTGAGCATCACTGGTTTCTGTTTTATTAGGTCTGTGCGGCAAGCCTCGTATTACTGATGTAGGAGGTGTACCTAATCTGATTCCTCTGGTCAAACTGGACAAGGTGCATTTAATAAAGCTTAAATATATTAGTCAGAAGCAAACACATTTGCACAACTAACCCTGGATTTTTTTTTCCTCCCCTGTAAGGTGTACAACATGAACAGTGTATCTAAGGAGGTGGAGCTGCCTGGTGCATTTATTCTTGGTGCCGGTGCCATCTCTTTCAAAACTGCTGGAATAAATGGAGAGGTTTGTATAGCTGCACATATTCTAAACCAGGGGTGTCCAAACTTTTTGGGCCGAGGGCCAGATGCAAAAAAAAAAAAAAAACGTTGTCCCGGGCCAAGTTTTACATACATCACACAGACAGGCATATATATATATATATATATATATATATGTAGTCAGAATTGTTAGCCCCCCTAAATTATTAGCCCCCTGTTTATTTTTTCCCCAATTTCTGTTTAACGGAGAGAAGATTTTTTTTCCACACATTTCTAAACATATTAGTTTTAGTAACTCATTTCTAATAACTGATTTATTTTATCTTTGCCATGATGACAGTAAATAATATTTGACTAGATATTTTTCAAGACACTTCTATATAGCTTAAAGTGACATTTAAAGGCTTAACTAGGTTAATTAGGTAATAATAAGGTAATTAGGCAAGTTATTTTATAACAATGGTTTGTTCTGAAGACTTAAGGGGCTAATAATTTTGACCTTAAAATGGTTCATAAAAAAATAAAAATGCTTTTATTCTAGCCGAAATAAAACAAATAAGTCTTTCTCCAGAAGAAAAAATATTATCAGACATATTGTGAAAATGTCTTTGCTCTGTTAAACATCATTTGGGAAATATTTAAAAAAGAAGAAATAAATCAAAAAGGGGCTAATAATTCAGACTTCAACTGTGTGTAGATAGATAGATAGATAGATAGATCGATAGATATGATTGATCATAACAAGAGCTGCTGCTTAATTGAATTCATGTGATAGCGACACCCGTTGGTTATTTATTGAATTACATTCATTTTTGTATATCGGGCAAGATTCTATTGATATTTAAAAAAAGCCTTGCAGGCAACCACAAAACTGATTGCGGGCCGCAGATGGCCTGCAGGCCGTAGTTTGGACACCCATGTTCTAAACCATTGAAATGTTGTTCAGTAATAAAATATTTAGTGTTGTGTAAAAACTTTCCATGTCCAAAACCATTACGTCAGGAAATGGGGGTGGGGGGGGGTAGAGCAATATGTGACTTGTCAGGAAAAAAAAAATCTAAAATAGTATGTCTTGAAAGTTGGCTCCACCCACTTTGGGAGGAGCTCTGTAAAAGCTTTTTATAGTACAAGTGAAATTTCTGCCATCAAACTATGCGCACACAGGCTGATAGGTTAATCTAATCTGCTCCTGCGTCATTAACTACATGGCACAGGATATTGGTTGTCTCGGCAGCCAATGAGCTTGCTCCTCATCAGTTTAAATGCTCTGCGTCCTTTTACGCTGTTTAAGCTGCAACACGTTTTCGGAGACCCTCCTCCACCACAGCTCCACCTGTGTTTAGATCAGCTATGGTAGTTACATATGTATTATGTTTGCTGCAGCAGGGTGTTATATTCTTAGACGGCATGTCTGTGTATATACTGGCAGTAGCAGGTCTCGGTACTTGCTCTGCCATAATTATCAAAGATGCAGTAGCGTAGCAGATCTATACTGCCAGGACCAAATACATCAACATTTTCATATATAGTTTCATACATTTCATATATAGCAAGAAGGTCGCTGGTTCAAGTCTCGGCTGGATCAGTTGGCGTTTCTGTGTGGGGTTTGCATGTTCTCCCTGCGTTCGCGTGAGTGAATGCAAGAGTTTATGGGCTCCCCAGAAATGGGTTGCAGCTGGAAGGGCATCTGCTGCGTATGTACTGGATAAGTTGGAGGTTCATTCTGCTGTTGCGACCCTAGATTAATAAAGGGACTAAGCTGAAAAGAAAATGAATGAATGAATGAATATTCATTACCATACTAAATCCCAAGACTGTTCATGACAGAATTTCTATTGTGACGGTGTTTGATTTCAAAATTATTTTTGCAGGATTCATTTTTAGCTATCAAATGGTATCAAACTTAGCATGATTGTTGGAAAGGCAATTAAAATGAGCTTGAAGCAGCTTAAAATAATGACATATAAAAAAATGAAGTTTGATTCTGCTTAATGCTAACACCCATATAAGAATGAGGTTTAGATATCTTCTTTTGAAAATTATACTGAAACTTGTGTCAGACTTGTGCCAGCTAGCAAAATATAAACAAAAAGAAACATACTTAACCAAATTTTTAAGTAAAATCACTCACTCCATTATACTTCTCTGATTTCTGAGTCTCGGACATTAAAAGGAAGCCTATACCAGAGTTTTTGAAGCCATATATGAAAACGCTCGACCTCCTTTAGCGGACTTTGCTATTCTGGGTACTACCAAAGAGGGAAATGAGAACATGACGTATCGGAGGACTTCTCTTTAAGAGAAGAATAGCTTGAGCTTTTTTGCATAGCCATATTTTTTTTAATTAACCAGGAACTTGTCGAAGTTGCATTCGGCAGCAGGAACACACTGATCTGCTTCATAAAACATGCACTAAAGGGATAGTTCACCCAAAAATGAAAATTCTGTCATGATTTTACTCACCGTTCACTTGTTTCAAACTCGTCTAAGTTTCTTTATTCACAAAGTTATTTTAAAGAAAGATGAAAAGCTGTCACCATTGACTTCCATTGTATTTGTATTTCCTACGATTTGTATTGAACAGAAGAAACTTGTAAAGGTATATAGCCAAATAGTAAATATTAATTTTTGAGTGAACTTTTCCTTGAACCCTTTTGTGGCTTATGGTTTTGCAACAACTTTATGTGCTTTTGGAAGCTTTAAAAATAAAAGAAAAACACTATTATACAGCATTGAAGAGCCAGGATAAAAAAACCTGCTTGAGACAGGTTATTAAATTTAGAGTAATTTGTATTTTTGGGTGAGCTATTCTTTTAAATACTTTGTTGGTTCATTACCATTTAAAAAAAAAACTGTTCCTTTTTCTTCTAGTTAATGCCGCTGGTGCTGACTGAAGCTGAGGGGAGATCTGCGGTGAATGCCAGTTATTTTTCCTCCATCAACCCAGAAGATGGAAAATGTCTGCAAGAGAAATACAGCGACAGGTTTGATGACTGTGACTTTGGGCTTCTCGCAAACCTCTATGCATGTGAGGGCAAACCTGGAAAGGTAGGAACAATGGAGACTTTGCTTTTCATATCTCACTGACACAGTTTTTATAGAGTTGCAGCTTTATACGTGGAATATTTACATTGATAATGGTCATAAACGATTATCACAAGTGAGTTAGTAACAAATACAGAAGCCAAAAGACCTATTACGTATTGTTTGAATATTCACATTTGTATTTTTTTTATATATAGTGTTCAGCATAAATAAAGTACAGACCCTTATGAAAATGAAAAATTTTATCCATTACTGAATATATGCAATAATCTTTTTTGCATTTAAACAAAACAGTTGTATTAAACAGTTAAATTCATTAATAATAATAATAATAATTATAATAATAACAACAATAAAAATCCCTTACATTCACATAGCGCTTTTCTGGATACTCAAAGCGCTTTACATATTTTTTTGGGGAAACTCCTTATCCACCACCAGTGAGCAACATCCACCTGGATGACACAATGGCAGCCATATTGCGCCAGACCACACACCTGCTGTTTGGCGTTGAGGAGACAGAGTGGTGAAGCCGATTATAATATGGAGATGGTTAGGCAGCTTTTTCGAAGGACATCCTGGCATTTTTAACAACCACAGAGAGTCAGGACCTCGGTTTAATGTCTCATCCAAAAGAAAGCGCTCACTGAGCAGTATAGAGTCCCCATCAATATACTGGGGCGCTAGGGCCCACACAGACTGCAGGTTGAGCACCCCCTGCTGATCTCACTAACAGTACTTCCGGCAGCAATCTACCTTTCCCAGCTTGGCTTCAGTGGGCGACCATGTGAGAGTTGCAGAGAGCTAGCTGCTGGCTAGTTGGTCACCTAACATCTTCAGCAATAGAAAGATAAGACATTTAAACTCAAATGAATTGTTGCAAAAAAAAATTCTGTTTGTTAAACTGTGCTTAATTATTCTTTTTATTTTTTTAGATTAGCCATTTTTGGCTTTGGTACTGACTAATCTAATGTATGCACAAATGTGTTATTAAATATTAATTTAAATCGAGATCTGTGAGGGATGTACTCATTTATACTGAATATTTATTATTTTTCTTGAATATTTATTTCCTTGTATTTATTTTTTTGCATACAGTGCTCAGCATTTATAAGTACACCCCTTACAAATCTCTCTTTTAAATTCATATTCTTAATAGTAAACTTAACAATATTATATTTGTGCATATAAATTAGATTAGTCAGTACTGAAACCAAATCTGGAACTTATCTAACAAAATCACTTACGATAACGGTCTAAAAATGAGGACACCTAAATTAATATGTAATAGAAAAATATTAAATACAAATTTAAAAAGAGAAAAAGTCTAAAGAAGCAAAGAAATTGAAAATTTGTAGGTTGTAATGTTTTTGCTATATTTTGCTTGAATTTAATTATATTATCTTTCAATTTCTAAATATGTTTGGTGACTAAAATATTATTTTAATTAATATATCTTTAATAAATCTGTTTTGTTTAAATGCACCAAAATACATTGCCTATATTCACTGAGAAATGGATAAAAGTATTCATTTTCAAAATGGGGTGTACTCATTTATACTGAGCACTGTATTTATTTTATTGTATATTTAATATTTTTTGCCCCTGTGATGGGAAACCTAACTGCAATAATCTAGTCTTGTGTGTCACATAACCCTTCAGAAATCATTCTAATATATTTGACAATACCTATTGCAGGTGATTGAGGTGAAAGCCTGCAGAAGGACCGGAGAGGACAGTCTCGTGAGCTGCATGAGAAAGACCATGGCAGAGCATTACGGAGAGAAGAGCGTGGCACTGGGAGGAACGTTCATTATACAAAAGGGGAAGGCAAAAATCCACATCATGGTAATTAAATAGGAATTAATGGAAAATAAACACCTGTTGAGTGTCACGAGTATTAGCTGGAGTACCCACCAGACTCACTAGAGGACACTACAGGTATATCCACCAGCCCTTCACTAGCCCTTCGGACTATACATCCCATCATGCATTGCACAGATTCAGACTCTGACTACCATCTACAGCTGTTATTCCCATCGACTTACATTTGTTTTCTTTTAAAGCCACGTGAGTTCTCTGTCTGCCCTCTAAACACCGACGAGGATGTCAATAACTGGCTTAGGCATTTTGAAGTCAGCGCACCACTGATCTTTCAAACCGTCATGATATCCAGAGACCCGGTGAGTACCGACCCATCCACCATATCTTACCTTAGTTCAACAGACAATCTTATTCTATATCTGTACTAAATGTTTAATATGAGCTCATTGTATTGTGGTGAATTGACAGGGTCTTGACCTGAGAGTGGAGCACACGCATGGCTTCAGCCACCATGGTGAGGGGGGCCATTACTACACGGACACCACCCCAAACACTGTGGAGTATCTGGGATACTTCCTGCCTGCTGAGACTGTCTACCGCATCGACCGACCCACTGAGACACACAATGTTGGCAGAGACTAAAACATTCAGAGTTCTGTTTTTAAATACAGTAAAAACGTTCAAAATGCTGATAATTCATGTTGATCTTTTTTTATGGGACCATACAGTATATTCATCAAAAGAAAATAACTGTAAAGTTAAATTCGTAATTGAATATATTGATCACTACTTGATATTCAAGTCCTTTCAGTTAGCTTAATTTCAGAGGAATTTGTAGTTTGATTGTATTGTTCCTAAATGTTAACTTTGACCACTACAAGACGACAGTGCTTCGTATAAATACCCCTATTTGAAAATTTTTAATTTTTGCATTTCTCTGTGAATGTAGACAATATTTTTGCTGCATTTGAACTACTTTTTTAATTATTAAACAGTTACATCCTTTAAAATAAACGTTTGGTCACCTAACCTTCCTAACTTTAGAAAAAGAAAGATTTTGAAAAACCTTTTTGATTCACTTTGAATGTTGACTACTGTGTGTGTGTGTGTGTGTGTGTATGTATATATATATGTATGTATGTGTGTGTATGTATGTATATATATATATATATATATATATATATATATATATATATATATATATATACACATGTATGTGTTGTGTATATATGTATGTATGTATATATATATGGTTTCTATTCATAATAACTGGAAGAAATTTAAGAACATTGAATAGTTGTGATAATCTTCTGTGAGGCCCGACTGCAACAAAAAGCTGGTAATGGGGAAAGAGCAGCATGTGACCATACTGCTTTTTGCTTCCTGTGGAACTCTGGAAAGCAGTGCCTTACTGTTGGAAAGAATTAGTCAGGAGGAAAGAATTTGTCATGTTTAAGTTTACTTTATTACAGCATATTTTAATTTCAGTTAAAATGTCATTTAATTTTAATCCACAAAAAATAATATATATATATATATTTTATATAATGATTAATTTAATATATAATTGTGTGTGCATATATATATATATATATATATATATATATATATATATATATATATAAATCAGCAGTTTTAACTTAAACATTTTACATAACAAAAGAGTTCTGAAACTAATTAGAAAGTAAATTGTCCAACGTCTAACTACATTTTAAGTACATAAAATAAAATAAAAAGCTTAATTATATTTTTTAGTGTGTTAACTTTTTAAACCACTGCTGAGGAAAATATATATAACGTTGTATATTTTTATCTTAAACACCTTAGTGAGATATGGCAATTTACACAAATAATAAAAAAAAAAATTCCCTATTAGGGCCTAAATATTTTTGGCTCACTGAAACTTTTCACAGGTTTTTGATCTGTCTGACTATTAGCCTACATTCACCTGCTGGGAAGTGGTATTCTTATTATTTTCCTTCGCAAACACAAACTTGCATTTTAAAAATGAAAATCGGTTTAAATTGATCATGGACACATGATTACCTGTTTGAGGCGGTTTGAGGTTTGTTATCTAGTGGCATAACTTCTGTCACCAAAGGGATACAGCTGCGGATACTCACTTCAATATAGCACAATTTTCGTGACACTGTACATCAATAATTAGTATTTTTTCATTACTGTGAGGGTATGTTTAGGGCTCGGGCGGGCAAATGCGTTAATAAAATACAATTGTATGGGTATTTTAATAAATAATATGAATAATACTAAGTGTAATTACTGCTTTTACATAACTGTGATGTTGGGATCAGGGTTGGGTCGGGAAAGACGTTAATAAAATACAACCAACGGGTAATTAAATAAATAATAAAAATATTTCTGGTTAACTTCCGGCCGCAGTTGTATCCCTTCTAGCAACAACCCGCCTCGGCCTGTACCAATGCCCGGATTCGCGGGGATGATGAGTGCAATCGTGCGCGCGAAGTCGTGTCAAAACGATTTTGACGCAACAAACATAATATTTTACTTTACTAAAGAAATAACTGAGGGTCAAATTCACGTTTTCTGGTAGACACAAATTGATTAAACGACGTATATCGACCAGGTAACTTACTAACGTTAAGTTATTGACGTTAACGTTAGCAGAATTAATTTAACGTTAGCTAACCTAACCTAATGTTAGCAGCCTTAAGCCTGAGTATTATAAACAAATGCTGTGTAAAATATTTTTGAGCTGAGGGGAGAAAGTAACAACACAAATGCGGTGTAAAAACGTAAATTTTTGTTAAGTAAATTTTCGTATTCACCAGGTAAATGCTGGAAAGATTGAACTAATGGTAATGTTTCACTTGTAACGTTACATCTTTCAGCCAGTGTGAGGAGTGATTTGCCAATATGTGGAGGAATGAAAATCAGAAACCAAACACAGGTAGGAATTGTCTCATTTAAATGACTATAACTTAACTTTGTTAGAATTACACAACACACAGTAAGTGGTTATTTTGTCTTCTATCTAACGTTAGGGTCAAAGAAATGTAAAATTTTGGTGTTTTAGATGTAGGCTACACAGGATTTCTGCAGGTTCTTAAAATGTCTTAAATTTCAAAACTTATATTTTAGGCCTTAAAACGTCTTAAATTCACTGACATATTGTGTTGTAGGTATTAAATTGTTGTAAACAGGTCTTAATTTAGCTTTGTCCAAGTAAAGCTACTCAGTTTGGGCTGATTTCCGTCCAATGACCAACAATACACCTTAATAAAACCTTATTTTTTATATTTAAGTTTTTTATTGCAAAGAAACAGTCCACAATAGCTGTTAAACATTTTTACAGTAAATTCCCCAAATTAAATCCCCTAATCAGGGGAAAAAACTAAAAACAGTAACACGATTCCTCATGATAACACTGGGCCATTAGAGAAAATCTTGTATACACTGTTATAAGTCTAAAATGTCATTCTTTATGGTCTTAAAAAGTCTTAAATTTGAATTAATGAAACCTGTAGAAACCCTGCTACAGTAAACAACCTTCTAAACCAACATGAAAATAGTATTATAGTAATTTATAGTAAATTCTATACTATAGTAAAGTAATTGAACTAATTTGTTGTGGTATTTCGCAATACAACAATTATAGTCATAAAAACAAATGACCTAATACTGCGTCCGCTCTCTGCAGCTATTGAGTATATTATGCTTATCAGTTTACTGTAGTAAAAACTAAAGTATGGTATTTTTTTTATTTAAACTTCACGATGTAAATACTAAAATATACACAGTATATTACAATTTAAAGACACTATAGTATTTACAATAAATTAGTATTTTTGTCATGTTGGATGCTGTATTTCAAATATAGAAAAGAATAATTGTTAATGATAAATTTGGTTATATTCAAAATTGTTAAAATCTCAATATATTGCACACAAATGGATAAAACCTAAAGTTTGATAGATAGTGGCAAAGTATGAGAAAAAGACTACGTTATGTTATGACTTTGTCATGAAATGATTCTTGGTCTAAATTTTCCTGGTAAAATGTGTTAGAATTTAAACTATTGTTTTACCCAATGACATTTTAGTGGGTGTCTTTCTGTCTATTATGGTTTAAAAAAATAAATGATAGTCTTTAGCCACAGTCATTTTTGCTTATAAAAAATTTATATTCATATAGATATGCAATGGTCCTACTTTATATTAGGTGGCCCTAACTAATATGTACTTGCACTGAAATTAATAATTTTTTACAATATACGGATTGTGCAAATAGGTTTTTACCATCCTTTACACCTTAACCCACACTTAAACCTACCCATTCAAACAAACCTGTCCATAACCCTACCCGTATCCCACCTCAAGAGCACAAGAAGTGTTCTGCAATACATTATAAACACAGTAAGTACATTGTATTCATTTTTTTGATGCAAGTACATAATAGTTAAGGCCACCTAATATAAAGTGAGACCTCCTTTTTTCAGAGTGTTTACTTATTTAAATTTGCCTAATCAATCAAGATAATTGAACAAACTGCATATCTGCTAATATGCAGTTAAAGTGTAATTCATGTTGCTGGAGTCTGAAATCAAAGCAGAGTTTTGTCTTTCTGCAGGCTGTCTCTCCGTGCCTCTGTTTAATCAAAGGAAGAGAAGCAGGCTGCCTTTCACGTCTAATCCCTCTGAGAGTGAGCTCTTCACCACCAACCACTACAAAGACACAAAATCCTCATCCTTCTCCTTCTCCTCTGCTCTTTTTATTTAGTGCTTCTATGGCATCAGTGTCGTATCTGATGCTGAATAAATAAGCATTAAGTACCAAAGCACTTCTTATGTTTTTCCTATTCACTTTCCAATTAGATTATTACATTACTCCACATTTTTTTTATTTGTGCATAATGTAATAGCATCTAAATTAACTTAGCCTTTAAGTGAACTGGATTGATTAATATGATTGGGACCTTCAGATTTTAATTTTTACAGTATTTGAATATTTTTCAGTCAATTCTAGGGCTGGGCGATATAACAAAAGTTTCCTATCACGATAAATAATATCATGAACAATATATTGCTAACAATATACATCACACTATTGCACTTTTTCTGTTAATACAATCAGTTAATAATGGCTAAAAATGCAAAATAAAAACATTGAAATGCTAAGCTTGCAACTTTCACAATGATGTTAGACGTGTTTTTACGGTCATCGAAATTTGAAATATATTTCTGTAAACATTTTTTTTGGCAACATAGAATAAAAAATGCACCATAATATGAAGCTAAAAGCTTTCATTTCATCTATATGATATATACTCACTTTATTAGGTACACCTTACTAGTACTGGGTTGGACCCTCTTTGACTACAGAACTGCCTTAATGGCATAGCTCCAACAAGGTACCGGAAATATTCCTTAAAGATTTGGTCCATATTGACATGATAGCATCATGCAGTTGCTGCAAATTTGTTGGCTGCAAATCCATGATGCAAATCTCCTCTTTCACCACATCCCAAAAGTGCTCTATTGGATTGAGATCTGGTGACTGAGAAGGCCCTTTGAGTTCAGTGAACTCATTGTTATGTTGAAGAAACCAGTCTGAGATGATTCGCCCTTTATGACATGGCATGTTATCCTGCTGAAAGTAACCATCAGAAGATGGGTACACTGTCGTCAAAAAGGGATGGACATGTGCCATCTGATTAGAAATTTGCTTTAACGAGCAGTTGGACAGGTGTACCTAATAAAGTTGCTGGTGAGTATATATCATAATATTGCATAACCCTAGTCTGTATATATATGTACAATCTTTGTAAAGGTCATTTATTATATTTACACACTTGTTATTATATTTGGTTTCATAAATTAGCGCCAAATTTATACATATGCAGACAAAGCGTATCGTCATTCCTCACAAGAGTTTTGTTTGCTTACTGATCATGTCTTCTGAAATATAACCATAAGTCTCTTTTTAGTTTTTGGTCAGAGTAGTCAGTGGAACCAGCAAGCCAATCTTTCCTCACAGCAAGCCGGTGGGAAATATGCTTCTTCACCTGGTATGGCAGGAAGAGGATATACACCTTTACCCCATCCCAGAAAACCAGCCTATGCCTGGTAAGTAAATGATGCTCTGCTAGCGAATAATGTCTACAGTTCTCAAAGCTGCTTTGTCCAAATCTGTGTTTATTTTTGCAAAAACACAGAAAGACGTTATCTCTCTTAGTTTAAAACAGTAAAATACAATTAAGACAAATATGACACTTAGTAGAATAAAATGTTAAGAATCAATTTAAATTTTGTTTCAGTTAAGAAAAAGTATATATTTAAGTAACCTTTGGTAAGTGTAATGATGGACTTGTGGATAACAGGAGTCAGATCTAAACGTAGCTTTATTAAGTTGTTTGGTAGGCAAGGTTCCATACAGGAGCAGACAGAATCACATGATAAGCCAATGAGTAAATGGTGGAAAAGGCAAAAGGGTCAAGGCAGGTGGTAAACGCTTATAAACAGTATAAATAAACAATGGGTCAAAAACACGCAGAGACAATACATATGAACACCACAGTACGACAACACTCCAACCCAGGCTAATTCTACTTGCTTCTCCCCATATACATTTCTGGAGAGAGCAAAATAAGCCCCAGGAGCTACATTTTTTTGGCAGTTTTGTTATGCTTTTTCAGATCTCAAATTTCTCTCACAGGTGTCATTCGCACCTGCTGTTCTTCGCAAAAATCAACCAACTCACCAATCCCTCCACCCTCCCTAAACCCAGAAAACAGTTTTTAAAAAGCACATATTGACCTGCCCATCCCCTTCCCTAAACCGATCTGCAGTGTTTTTAAAAGCAATCCAGAAAAAGAAAAGCCCTTACGGCGGAATAATTTTTACCACGCTTCCAGATTTGACCACATTTTCACTGTTATTTACTTTTTTTTACTTTTTGACTTTAGTTTTTGTCTTACCTGCTTTCTGAAACCTTTTTTCAACGGACTCAAACCCAGCTGTCGCGGTCAACTCCGCTCTGTGTTGCCGTACGTGCCGGCGCATGTGTCAAGCTACCGGACAAACTGGTAACAGCAAAAAAGCCAGCTGGTAAGTGAGAAAAGGAAGGCATTCATACTCCCCCATAGCATTCGTTTTAAAGATGAAATGCAGCCATATGTAGCTCTGGCTACATAATTTGTGATCTCCAGAAATGTATATAGCTACGTTTTCAGAACGAGCCTCAGCACTGGATGTGTGAGTGAGTGGTGTATATATAGTCCATGTAATCCAGGGGTGTCCAAACTTTTTGGGCCGAGGGCCAGATGCAAAAAAAAAAACGTTGTCGCGGGCCAAATTTTACATACATCACACAGACACGCATATATAAATGTGTGTGTATATATATATATATATATATATATATATATATATATATATATATATATATATATATATATATATACACACAGTTGAAGTCAGAATTGTTAGTCCCCCTAAATTATTAGCCCCCTGTTTATTTTTTCCCCAATTTCTGTTTAACGGAGAGAACTAATTTTTTTCCACACATTTCTAAACATAATAGTTTTAGTAACTCATTTCTAGATACTGATTTATTTTCTCTTTGTTATGATGACAGTAAATAATATTTGACTAGATATTTTTCAAGACACTTCTATACAGCTTAAAGTGACTTTTAAACACTTAACAGGGTTAGTTAAGTTAACTAGTCAAATTAAGGTAATTTGGCAAGTTAATTAGGCAACAATGGTTTGTTCGAGTAACGAACCTTTCTCTGATACAATTGAGTAAAACGGATCACTGGTTCAGAAATGTTCATTTCACCATCAGTAAGTTTTACTTGGTATATTTATGTGTTGAAAATATCTTTAACTTAACATAAAATAACATATTAATCCAGACACATTATCTTGCGATCCACCATTATACACTGTAAAAAAATCTTTAATTTTATGGTTTACTTCCGACAGCTGGGGTGCCGGTTAAATTACAGAAATGTACTGTAAATTTCTTAAATTTCTGTAAGTTTCAAGGCTCAAGACTTAAGGGGCTAATAATTTTGGCATTAAAATGGTTCATAAAAAATTAAAAACTGCTTTTATTCTAGCCGAAATAAAACAAACAAGTCTTCCTCCAGAAGAAAAAATATTATCAGACATACTGTGAAAATTTCCTTGCTCTGTTAAACATCATTTGGGAAATATTTAAAAAAGAAGAAATAAATCATAAATTTAATAGATAGATAGATAGATAGATAGATAGATCATAACAAGAACTGCTGCTTAATTGAAAGCGTGTAATAGCGACACCCGGTGGTTATTTATTGAATTACGTTCATTTTTTGTGTGTAGCGGGCCAGATTCTATTGGTATTTATAAAAAGCCTCGCGGGCCGCTACAAAACTGATTGCGGGCCGCAGATGGCCCGCGGGCCGTAGTTTGGACATGCCTGATGTAATCAGTCATGAAGAGCTTTAGCTGTGAGTGTGTAATCACGAGGTGAACTGAAACCAGTGTGCGACTGCAGGGCATAATGGGATATGTAGTTCAGGTGAATGACTGGGAGTCCTATCCAACAATCTGAGGGCTATATCTGGACAGTAACACTGACACTAAGTAGTTAACAATGAAAAAATAAAGCTTTTGTACCATTTAAGCCAGGCCTGCACTACAGGAGTTTAATTAAACTGTTTGTTAAAAGAATTTTCCTCTTTTATTCTCTTGGATGGAAACACCAAAACTGTGACACATAACTACTTACAAGATAATATTAAGATTACATTTACAACTTTACATTTGCCAAATAGTGGTCTTATAGTTTTCTACAGTGACCCGGTGCTTTCAAAAGATACAATCCTATACTGTATATCAAACATGGTTAATGGGATCAGGGCAGCCCAGATGTGGAGATCAGGGCGTTTTAAAGTTTATTTGTAAACGCCTATCATTACCAGATGATCTGGGCTGAACATCAGCAATACTGTTGTAGTGCAAGTCTGGCTTCACGTTATCATGCAAAACGTTATGACATTATAATTAGTATTTGTCACTATTTTACCTTCAGGCCACAGATAGGGCAACAAAGGCCTCCAGTAAGACAGGATTCAATGGCAAATCAGATTCATGGTGCCTTTCCAAGCAGTAATTCAGCCTCATATGGCCAGCCCAGTTGGTCCAGCGGCATCCAGAATCAACAGTCATTTAACAGGCCGCCAAATAGCTTCAGAATGCCATACCGTCCACAGCCGTGTTCATCAGTAGCAGGAAATTCCCAGGGCCCTCTGAATCACAGCGGCACGTGGAACTTCAGACCTATTGGACAATCAACCAGTGGAATGTGGCCAAAAGAAAAAATGGACACTTCAGTTGTTCAAACCACTCCAAAACAGCAGGTGTGTGTTACTTTGTTTGTTACGTCCCTTCCTTTACTTTTTAATGGTCAAGGGGGAACGAAAAGGAAAACATTAAACCATTTGTAGTTCTTGTTGCCATTTTTCATAGATGAGGAACAACAAGACACGAAATTACTATTTAAGTGAACTTGTTTGTTATAAACAAGCTTTGGATGTTTAAATGTTTATAGAAAAACAAAGTTTCTCACAAAAGTAGTAAGAAATAGAATAACAATTTCTCAAAAGGGACAAAGGGAACAAGACTATGCCAAACAACAACAACAAAAAAAAGAATAAAACAAAAATCAACTAACTCGATAACTACAAAACAAAAGGTAAACCCTCAACATCCAAGACGTTGTATTTTACCTGCACTCTCATTCTAAAACAAAACTTAAGTGTTTAACTAAAAGAATGCTGCATGTGCGTCATGTATAACAAATGACAGTTTACCTATTCCCTCTCCTCCATTTAGAATTATACACAGATACAATGCTCACACTCTAGTTCTCAAAGGAGTTTGAAACAAAAATGCTTCAATATTGCATGACAAACAAAGCACACTAACAAAAGTTAAACAAACAAGGCAAAAAGGGAACACAAACATAAAGCAAAAATCAAACACAGCACAACTTCACAGGAAATGACGTCTATCCCAAACTGATGCATCGTTTCCTTTATATATTGTCCCACCGTCCTGCAGTGTAACGAATGGAGCTCCTCTCAATTGCGTCATCGAACATCAGTTTGTACCCCAAGTGATTGATGTCTTAAGCCCTGCTTAAATTGAGATTTCAGCCACGATTTTGTCATCAGACAAGTTTGGGAAATCCTAAAAGATTCCTAAAATCCTAGGCTAAAATCTGTGATCTTTGATCGTTGGTTTGACATGCTCACAGACAGCCGCTTTGTGGCCGCTGTGATCAGATTTTTTCTTCGATGAAGTTCTGGCAGTTTCAGAAGATTTCAGACACTTTCCTGCAGTGTGAACAGCTGCGATGAGAGTCAATCCAAGAACCAATAGGAGCACCAAATCTGATGACGCAATTCATGTGTCATTTCACCGACTGCGGGGAAATGTCAAAATTGCCGTTACAGATTGTTTACGTTTGCTGTAAGGAATCATTTCAAGAGTTCCCACTTAGATATGCTTGGCATTTATAGCAGGTTTGGCATGTTGTCCCGGGAGAGAACCCTGGGCTCTGAGATATTTAAGCCCAGGGCTCCCGCCCAGTCTAGAAGCATATCAGACTGTGTAAGTGCAGTCTATTTTAAGTGCAGACGCTCCCCCTTTAGAAGAGGATAGGGTGGAAGGGGGGATTCTTCCAAAAAGAAGATAGAGCAATAAGGAGAAAGTGAGGAGAAAGTAAAAATATTTTGTTTGTCATATGAAAACATATTGTCTTTTTTTTTTTTTTTTTTTTTTTACAAAACAATAATTATTTATAAAAGTCTATAAATAAAAGTCTACTCCAGTTTATAGTAGCTTTGAAGTTAGTGTTAAAAATGTGCAAGGTAAAAAGTAATAGTTTTCTTACATAGAGTTTCTGACTTGTTACTACTCCAAATATCTAAAAATTAAACCAAGAAGCATTTTTTAGACAAGTAAAAATGATTGTTTTATTTTCAGAAATAATAAATCAAAATTAAGTTAGTTTTACTTCAAAATAAGCAAAACAATCTACCTATAGGGTAAGAAAAATAAGATTATATAATTATGAAACAAGATTAATTTACTAGTGTATGCAGATCATTTGAAGTTAAATTACGCTATGTTTTTTGCTTTTCAGTCTTTTAGGAGCCAGTAGCTTTCAAAATGTAAAGTAATGTGTTTGCACTTTTGCAAAGCCGAGTTTGTGTCCTGGCTTAGTGATCTTTCCTGATTTTTCTAGGCATTTACAAGTGTATGAATGAAACAAAAAGGGTAGTGGGATAAAAAGATCACCTATATTGTACGCAGCTACAATAGAGTGCTGCAGTGATTAAAGGGGAGGCATTAAGAGTTATTTATTGTTAAAGAGTTGGACTCTCATGCTCAAGCATGGGTCTTGTTTGAAAAATTATTTGGACGTAACACAGTATTTTTTCAAGCCAAGGCAAAAATTTCTTTTATACTACACAGAATTTAAATGAGAATGAGTCCCAAAAATTATATGAGATTGTGTAAAATGAGCATGATATATCCTCTTAAAGTATTTAATTATTTGTCCAACTCAAATGTTAGCATCACCCTGTTTTTGTTGAGCATTGTTTTCCATTGGCTTTTGTATTTTTACTAAAATTTAGGATATAAAGATAACTTTCAGAATAAACATACTATTACCAGTACACCACAAATCGAACAAGCTTTACTGCTGTCAACTGTAAACAACCATAAACCTAAAAAGCTACACACAAGGCCATAAAGGACAAACATGTCAGTGTCAAAAATACATCATGCATGTACTGGATTACATATATTTGTTTGCACTTTTACTGACATTCTTTACAAGAATCAGATCTGATGATAAGTACTAAACATTTATTAATTTGTTACATTAATTTGTTAGTTTACAAAATCCCTACTTTTGTCTTGGATAAATCAGTGATTAAACATATTTTTTATCATTAATAGGCTTTATGCAGCATCACGTTAAAAATAGACTGCACTTACACATATACAAATCTCTCTTTATATGCATAGAAAACAAACTCTGTTTTTTCCCATATCAGGATACACACATAATTATAATTCTGATTAATTTAGCCTGCAGTGCTCAAAAGGGGAAAAAACAGGAAAAATGCAATGATTTGCGTCATAGGCCAAACTTTTTTTTGCTTAAATAACACTGGGGTAAAATACTGCAGTTTTAATGGGTTTCAAGTGAACATTTTTCTGTACTGAAGGTTCTGAGTATAACTATTTTTGTACCTAGCATAATTTGATTTACAGTGTGAATGGAAATTGCTTGTCTAAATTTATCATGTTTTACATTTAAAGCAGCCCAAAAAAAAAGCAATCCAAAAATGTCAGAGAGTTAAACTTCCAACATCTCTGTCAATCTTTATTTGAAAAACATTTTCTACAGAAGATTAAGTTGAAATAGTTATTAACACAATGAGGCTGTAAAAGTGAATTAGATGAGTTCACCTGTTCAGCACGATGAAGTTTAATGTCCCTGACAATGTCTGTCGTCCTATTTATCGACTCGTTTGTGACAAGTCTTATTCAGAATAAGTAAAATGGGTTATTATACTAATGTATTTGGTTGTAGAGCAAAATATTTTGAGCCTGTGTTAAGAGCATTTGACAAAAAAAGATAAATTTGAAAAAACTATTGACTTAAAATGCCATGTAAAAATAGTAATACATCAATACAACAGATCTCAACTTCCTTTCTCAAGCTGTACCTGCATTTGCATGTTTCTCTTTGCATCTGATTTTTTGTTTGTGTCTGTGTGTACGGTTTGTTCTTCATGTCAGAAAAAATGTTGTTTGTTGATTGTTCATTTATTTTCCCATATGCTGTTCAGAAGCCCAGTCGTGAGACTTCAATGCGTGTTATTACTGCTGTAATTGAAGGCATGAAGCACTGGAGCCAGTACAAGAATCGGGTACCTATGCTATTCGAGATCTTTGGTGAGGACACTATCAGACACATGTGGTTCTTATTGATCTGAATCTGTATCTAAAAAGTCCTGATTCTCTTTACAGCCACTCTGGACTCTGCAGTTACAATTGGAGAACACGGCGCAAAGAAATTCCTCATGAGGGACGATAAACATGTGGTCCAGTGTCTTTACTATGAAAACGTGAGTCTGGGAATGTTAGCCCTCCTGTGTTGGATCTACCCTTCTGCATTTTATTTATTCATTCCTTTTCATTCGGCTTAGTCCCTTATTTATCAGGGGTCACCACAGCGGAATGAACCGCCAACTATTCCAGCATATGTTTTACACAGCAGATGCCCTTCCAGCCACAACCCAGTAGTGGGAAACACTTATACACTCTTGCATTCACACATGCAGTCATACTCTAAGGGCAATTTAGTTGATTAAATTCACCTATACATGCAAACTCCACACAGAAATGCCAACTGGCAACTGAACTTTTGGAAAAACATTACTATTCCAAAATTTGGGTTTGTTTTAACTTTTTACAAAAAATGTATAGTTTATTTATTAATCAAGCATGAAATAAAAGTGACTAAACGTAGCTAAAGCTTTGTATAGTGTTCAAAATGTATGTGTTATTTTTTTTAAACTTCCTATTCATCAAAACATGCATAAATATTTCAGTACAAATATAAACAGCTTTTTGAAGAGTTTTTACCTGAATGATAATAATACTCAAAGATTTAATCAGAGTATTAGAGGATCGTGTAACACCGAGGATATAAAATTTATAGTGAAATAAATGCAGATTTTATTTTATTCATTTATTTTTATTTAATTAAGTTTAATTAAAAACATTACTGTAACAAATAAAATGTAGCTTTGGTTCATATGAAAGAGCTTTTTTGAAAAAAAAAAAAAAAGTAAAAGTTTTACTTAGCCTAGACATATAAATAGAAGTGTATATGTATGATCAACAAATTGTACCTCTTGCCAACAGGGAAAACCACCAACAATCAAAAAAGCTTAAATAGACTTAATGCACAGCTAGTGTTTTTCAGCCAATGATGAACTTCCAGTGAAAGCTTTATGTGACAATTTCATAAGGTTCCTTTTACAGCATCGATGTTGTAATGTAATTTAAATATAATAAGTTAAATAGATTTAAGCATTCATTAGGTTGTTAAAGCAAAGAAAGAGATGAAAGACCGTTTAAATTCAGGCACTGTCATTAGCAACAGGCTAGCGCAAAAACTTCATTGAAAATACTGGCGTAAAATTAATTTCTATATTTTAAAGACATGGTAAGGATTTAACTTAATGCAGTGCTTCTTGTTTGGTCTAATACCCACATTATATCGTATCTCAGCCAGGCACTGAAGATCACTGTTTTTTTAAAGAAATCAGATCTTAAACGCATCGATTTTATATTGGATGACAATTTACCGGAAGCCCTGGGGCTGGCTGACTGAAAGTCCATGTGCAAATACCATACCTGTCAACATTAGGATGTGAAAATAAGGGAAATGCCCAACTTAATAAGGGATCCCCCTTTTTAAAAACTCCCCAAATTACTAAATATGCTCATTTGGAGCTGTTTCATTGTAAATAAACAGTTAAATGGTTAGTAATATGTTTTATTATTATTACTTACAAAATAAAATAATAAAGAGTATACATGATCAGCAAATAAATTAGCAAACAGTTCAGGTTATTAAAATTAGTAGCTGTTATAATGAAATGGAATCAAGCTATCAAATCTCATTAGCCATTTCTTCACTGTATAACACATTCTGAATAAAGAGCAACAAATTTTGGATTTATTTAGATTTTTTTTTTGTTTGATTACATTAAATAGAGGTGTCACTTTAAAAATGCACACATCTAACGTTTTAATGAAAGCATTTCATTGCTTTCCTAACTTTTTATGCTCATTTAGAATGAAATTAGTTGTGTTTGAAAAAAAAAACATCAAGATCAACATCTTTAGATATTATATTTGTTAAATATATGTATTTCTGTTTAAAAGCACACCCAAAACTCAGATTTTTGCTCCGCTTTAAATCGCGAGTACAGAAACCATTTGGGAAACATCGTCTTATCACTATGGAGTGCATCAGCTGACAGTCATATATGAGTGTTTTGAGGATTGCATATGAAGGGGAGACGGCACCTGTAATGAAAAGAAAAGTTAATGCTGCCGTTTTTATATTTATTTCAGAGTGTTTTCATGCCTAACCAAAGCGAAAGCACAGAACAGACTCATATTTAAGAGCAAGGGGCGGCCCCTGGTGGTTCGGTGGTATAGGTTGCGTATATAGAGGCTCAGCTCTTTAAAGAGCCCATATTATACATGAAATAGGGTCATATCTTGGTTGTAAGGGTCTCCAACAACAGTTTAATATGCATGCAAGGTCAAAAAAACACTTTCGTGGTCTTATAATCTGCATTTATTTTTACCTAATTATCCCAGCGACTCCTGTATGAATCGTCCAGTGATTCATTTGTTCCCAAACCCCTCCTTAGCGCGAAGCTAATCTGCGCTGATTGGACCAATGACAGCCTGTTGCGATTGGTCGACTGCCTTCAGTCAGAGAGTGAAATGCCAAACAGCTAATCAGCAATATAAAAGTAATCACAGTTCATACACGTTCGATAGTGTAGGCGTGGATTTTAGCTGCCAGTGGGTCAATGTAAATACAGACTATGGACTTGAAAATTCAGACGACTAACTATTTTACTGAGCAAAAACTCCAAAAACAGTTGAGGAGATCTCCTAGCTTCTCACTCTGCTCTTTTCACAGACACACACACACACACACACACACACACACACACACACACCTCCGGACGACAGCGCGCGCACACGCACACACAGACACACACACTTCTCCTCGTCCACGGAGCTCCGTTAACAAAGCAGCACGCGTCGCGTTTTTAACGTGACTTTGCACGCGAAAGGAGAATATAGCCAGTTAACCTGATACAGTACACTCGGTTACCAGTAACAAATCACAACTAAATACATTTGCAAGCTAGAGTAAACGAGGCAAATTTAATCGCATGTACTTACACTTGAGAAATGGAGGAAGAAAAATCCATCCTGACGTCCAGCAGTAAGTTACTCTTTACTGATCCTTCCTTTAACAAACGCTGATGAAGTATTCTTTGTAGCATGTAGCTTCCAGAAGTTTCCAGTAGTTTCCAACTGCTTGGCTATAATGCTGAGGTTTCATCTTTGGGTAGAGACTCAATATATCCATCTGCAGTGTGACTTCAATCGACCGGCATGTTTGTGTGGGTGTGTGTGTGTGTGTCTGGGTTTCTGCGTCAGAGGACGGGGCCTCAGGTTTGAAATCTCCCGGGTTTGCGCGTGCACGTGAATAACTTGGTTTCGTATGTACGTCATGGCGAAACACCTAATGAATCGGTATCAAGGCGACTCGTTTGAAGCACTATGAGTCGACTCTTTTATAAATGAATCAACAGTTTTAAACACTGTATTCTTACAGATTTAAGCCTTAGCTGGATACTTCACTTCACTTAGAGCTGTGTAACACACTACATGGAGGGGCATTTTCAAAAACCCATAATATGGGCTCTTTAATGTTTATTTGCCACCATTCAGAGAAAAACTGAAAATACGGTAGAAATAAGGGAAAATAATTTTATGGGATGATAGTGGGATAGAACTGTAAAATACAGGAAAATACAGGGAAAAACAGGAGGGTTTACTGGTATGGCATATACCCCATTATATAGTGTCATGACTTTGCAATCAAAAATGTTGTTATTATAATGGAAGTCAATGGGGCAAAAACAGCCACCAATATAATGAAAGTAGTAAATTTGTTCAGTGTGCTCCTGAGTTTTTTTTTTTCATTCAATTTTAAAGCATTTTTTCCAAAACGTGTGTCAAGATGAGATTTGTCACGAAAAATAATTCCATTTGCTTAAACAGAGAAAGCTGTGGCCAGTTTAAGACTCAAAATCACCCCGGAGTGGATGAAAACATCCCCAACATAACATACGGGTTAAAATACTTCACGTTTATTATATTTTTCTAGAGAAATAAGAGTGTTTTATATTTGTATTATTCCTTAGGACCAGACACTGCCCAGACTGATCAGAGGTCAGGTGCATCGCTGCGTTGGAAACTATGACAAGGATAAAGACATAATGAAGTGTGTGTCTGTGCGAGCTGCGTCACTGTCAGAGCAAAAAAACGCCCAGGAGGCTGTGAGAGCGTCAGACGCAGAGTTGAGGAATGTGCTGCTGACTCTCAGTGAAATCTGACGTGCATCCAGTAAGTAACAGTAGAAACATGAAATTAGCAGACTTTTATGGAAGTAAGGCTTGGTTTTGTTTTAGTTGTGAATTAGTTTAGAGATGAACCAACAATGACTGAATGCCAGTTACAGTTTAGATGCATTCACAATATATAGATGCAAATAAAATGTCATTTAGATTCATTAAATATATTTTAGTCGGTGTGAATATGCAGAGGTTGCACTTGAGTTGTATTGTGTTCTTATAATATATTGATATATTTTATATTCATATATATGTAAATTTTATTTGTGTGCGCCGGGCAAAGATTAATTGCAATTAATAACATCCAAAATAAAAGTTTGTTTTGACATAATATGTGTGTGTTATATATATTTATTATGTATATGACACACTTAGAAACAAAACTATACAAACTAATTTTGCTACATAATTCATTTGTACGTAAATTTTAAACTGATATATAATTTGTAAAACAAATGTATAGCTAAATATAAATAAACATTTTGCCAAATGTATGCATGCATGAGTGTATTTATACATAAATATAAACAACATATACACACACACATATATTATGTCAAAACAAACTTTTATTTTGGATATGATGCCCAGCACTCATTTTATTTGATAAAAAAATGTCATTTTTCAGTACTAATTTATATGCATGTATATCATTAATAAGTGCATTAAAATAAATTTGTTCAATTTCCAACTTGAAAAAAAAAACTTTATTGGTTTCTCAATTCAAAAGATGTCAATATTTTTTATGTTTATGAAATTATTTATTACAAAGAAGAAACACATAACAGCAATTCATTAAGGATTTCAAAGGTTAAACAAACACAATGATGAGGTAACATCTCAAAATATATCTTTCAAAACCGTCAGGATGCCATGTTACAGTATTATTTACAACCAAAACATCACAGTGGGAAACCCACGGCACTAATCTACAAGATCTAAGATCTACCAGTGGTCAGACTTCACAAACATGATCATAAACTCAACTCAAGAATGTAAGTTGCCTTCGCATCAAGGCAATCAGAGAACGTCATTTAAAGGGCCTGCCATGATTGACATCTGATGCCAGTTTCTAAGTTGTGCTCTGTCCTTTGAGCCACAGCTTACCCCGAACAATTAAATGTACACACATCATAGGGTTTTGTGTTTTCTTTTCTTCATTTTTTTGCTGTATGCTCATCGATATGATTATAGAAGTTGAAGGTAAATATACTGAGGGCAGTTCAGTGCCAATATTTTTAGCAGGTCTGAATACATAACACACAAATGAATCAACACAACAGCAAAAGTGAGCCAAGTGCAATATGGAATGATCCAAGTAGAAGCTTTAGCTTCACCGTATTGCAGTGCCAAGATTAAATGCATTAGCACATTAGCTTGATTTGATCGTTACAGCGAAATCTCCCGAAGTAATTTATAAATCTGTCATCACAAATCAGAAATAAATTAGTTGTTCACTGACTTACTAATTTAGTTTTTATTGTTTCGTTCATTTTTGCTACCCCTTCAAAAACTAAAACTCCATTTTTAAGACTTCCTGCGAAAAGGAATCACCATGAAAGATGAAGACATACTGAAATTATAGCACAACAAGAAAGCATTTACAAAATATTTCACAAGTAGATTACCTGATGAAAGGTACTTAAGTCTTAGCAATGGTCAGAAGGCACAAGTCGGTTAGAAGTTGTTATTTTCCAAATCATCCCAGCAGTGACAACGCTAACATGACGTCAGATTGATGTTGTCCTCCAACGTCATGGGATGTTGCATTTTGTTTGGACATGAAAATTAAGTTGACGTCAGAACCTAATGTCAGGTTGACATCAATGTTCAACCTAAAATCAACCAAATATCAATGTCTAATGATGTTATAGCTTTACGTTGTGTGGATGTTACCACTATGACGTCTATCAGACGTTGGATTTTGGTTGCCATACCTGACAAATATATGTCAGTATTTGACATCAATATGACATTGGTTTAAGATGATGGCTCGACGTTGGACATTGGTCACGTTTCAACATCCTAAAATCACCCAAATATCAACATCTAATAATTTTACAGCTTTACGTTGTGTGGACGTTACAACTATGACGTCTATCAGATGTTGGATTTTGGTTGCCATACCTGACAAATATGTCAGTATTTGACGTCAATATGACGTTGGTGTAAGATGCTGGCTCGATGTTGGATTTTGGTCACTTTTCAACACAACCTAACATCAAGGTCATTTTACATATTGAATTTTGGTCACCTGAAATCACAACCCAAATTTAACCTAATATTAACGTCATGGCATTGTGTGTCTGCTGGGATAGTTGGTGTGTGTGTGTGTGTGTGTGTGTGTGTAACCAAGCCCAACTTTAAGTCAGAATAGCCTGAATAACAATCCTGAATAATTCAGTACTAGTAGGTGTTACTGTAAAGACAGAGAAAAGAGGCTTTGGAGCATTTCTTTTTCACTCAGTTCGGGAAAACAAAGTTTTATGTGTAGGATAGTTTCACATTATTTTATTTTTTTGAAGAAAGGTCAATGCTTGCCGTCCATCCATGGCAGTTTGAAGCCACGGCCTTGTCCATGTTTTAAATACAGTTCCTCAATGCCTCTCGCAGGGTTGTAAGAAACAAAAAAATAGACAGAAGCCTGTCAATAGGATAAAAAAAGTCAGTTTACTTAAGCCACAGTGTTGGTCCTTGAATAAGTACTATATCAGGTGCTAGAAACTGTATAAAGTGGAAATTGTTTTCCAGTTGTCAGATTCATGGAGTTTAAGTTCAGCTTCTCATGATGAAACTTGGGTCCATTTGAGTTGAGATCCACAAAAACGTCCATTTAAAAAGGGACTACATTTGTTTTTTGTTCTTTTTTTAATTCACTGCATGCCGTCAAGTCTCCATTAAAAAAGTTTTGGGAAATTATTCCTCAACTTCATTTAATTTGCTCTTTTTGGTTTTAATTCTTGCTAATGAAATGTCAGAAATCTTAATTTGCCCCATTTGACGTTATTTTCCATAGTCCTTAGAGCTGTTTAGTCAGGACAAACAATTTAAACAGATAAAGCTCGAAAATAACTTAAAAACAAGGGAAAGAAAGACCAAAATCCTCTTAATCCTTTTCAAATGAGCTTTTCACCTGGCACATTGACTGTGAAGAGGAAAAAAAAAAGAAAAAAGAGTCAGAATAGAAGAGGTGAGGGGTCTCGAGTTCTGCTCATCATCATAATGACATCATTACCAGCTATGGCGAATGATGCTAAGACTTTGCCTTAATCCGATCACATTTTAGTTATGATGGCGGCACTGACTGAATACTTAAGGGGGATTAGTGCTCTATAAAAGTGTGGGCAATGGAGTGGGTGACAGTTGCTCCTTGGGGGCATACTTGGCGAAAAAGGGCAGGAATAGGGTGAGCATGACGCCCACAACAGCCAGCATGTAGCCCCATCCTATCTGACAGTCCCCGGCGTTGTAGATGTCGGAGTCTCCACAGAAAGACTTCACCAGGCTTGAGTTAAGACCGAACGGGTAAACCAGTAAACCAGATGCCATAATGACCACTAGAGAGAAAGAGAGAGAAAAACAGAGAAGAAATAAGTTAACTTAAAGTATGAGTGGAAAAGCAGTTGAAGAACACAAAAAATTTTATTTGCTTATTTGCATTTTTTTTTTACGTATGACAATCTACATGCAACTTAAAGCGCTTTACAAGCGAACAAATATTAAGTAAAATTAGCAATATCGGCGGCATGGTGGCTCAAAAGTTGCCTCACAGCAAGAAGGTTGTTGGTTCAAGTCCCCGGCTGGCCTGAATTGGACGAAATTGGCTATAGTGTAAAAGTTTGTGAATCCGAGAGTGTATGGGTGTTTCCCAGTAGTGGGTTACAACTGGAAGGGCATCTGCTGCGTAAAACATATGCTGGAAGTTAGTGGTTTAGTCCGCTGTGGAAACCCCTGATAAATAAGTGACTAAGCTAAAGGAAAACGAATGAATGAACATCAATATTTGGTAAAATATAACAGACGAATAAACAAATACTATAAAAAACAAAACAAATGTATAAATAAATAGATCAAAATAAACAACAAATACATATATATGTACACACATATACGGTTGTTAAGTGTGACGTCACGCGAAGTGGCTTCTTGGTCCAAGCACTCTAATAAACTGTATGGGGAGACTTAAATGGTAAAAATAAACGTTTACAAAGCGATGTAATACTTTCGAAAATCGCAATCGCAATATACAGTTGAAGTCAGAATTATTAGCCCCACCCTTTGTTTTTTTTTTTTACTTTTTTAAAAATATTTACCAAATGATGTTTAACAGAGCAAGAAAATTTTTACAGTATGTCTGATAATATATTTTCTTCTAGAGAAAGTCTTATTTGTTTTATTTCGGCTTGAATAAAATGATTTTTTTTTCAAATCCATATTAAGGTCAATATTAAAGCTTTTTATTTAGAATTATTGCATAACTAATTAAAATTAAATATTCATCAAAGGCGGCAACACACACACACACACACACACACACACACACACACACACACACACACACACACACACACTCATTTATAGATTATGCAGCTTAAATATTTCACGTAAAAATACAAAAAAAACAACATTACATCACAAATTATATAAAAGTAAAGAATGTACCAGGGTGCAACAAAATATACAACAAAATGTTGTCAAAAAACCTTTAAACCAAACATCTAATTAAACATTAATAAATTATTGAAAAAATAAAGATTATTAAAGAAAGTTAAAGAAAAGGACGAATGTCAAACTCTTCATTTAAACCCTTTGGAGACAATGTGTCTAAAGTGAAAATCCAAAAGGCTTCACGTTGTAACAGCTATTTATTAAGATCACCTTTTACTTGTTTTACAATTTACTTGTAGTAGCAACAGCAATGCTCATGGTGGCAGTAGAGGGCCGTGTTTCTGATGTAGATTCCAATCAACAAAGCATTAATGGAAGAAAGGCCCACTATACCGTTTCCAATTCTCCCATGGAAATATCAAATATACACAAAACCATCAGCCCATATATGACTGAGATCAAAATTCATTGGATGATGACTGACAGTCCTTGGGTGTGGTGTGTGTGGGTAGACTGAGGAAAGCTATTAGAAGAGTTTTTCTTTTTTTTCAGTCAGTATCAGTGCTCGCTCCCCATGACTGAACAGCAGAGCTCGAAAAACTCCTGTCAAATATCTACTCAGTCAGGAGATCTTACTATTGCATGTGCCTTTAATTAGACTGAAGTATGGTTACTATGAGAGTTGAAGCAAACTAAAATAACTTTTTAAACGTTAGATGAATGAATAATTCACTTAAAAATAAAAATGTTAAGTGTCTTTTCTTTTCAATAGAACATTAAATATTTTTTTGCTAAAATCACTATTTGGTGGTTCATACAATCATTTGCTGCTTTTTAAAAGTTCATTAATTCAATTTCCCTCACCTTAGTCCCTTATATATTAGGGGTCACCACAGTGGAATGAACCACCTACTATTATGGCATGTATTACGCAGCGGATGCCCTTTCAGCCGCAACCCAGTGCTGGAAAACACCCAGACACACTTTCATTCATACACACACACTCATACACTACAGCCAATTTTAGTTCATCCAGTTCACCTATAGCGCATGTCTTTGGACTGGGGGAAACCCATGCCAACACGGGGAGAACATGCAAACACCACACATAAAATCCTTGTTCAAATGACTTATTTTAAAATGAGCTAAAACAACACAATTCTTGAGATTTTTTTGGGATAACTTGATTGTTTTATGTGAAGTCCACTTAAATTTGTTATAATAATAATAATAATAATTCGTTACATTTATATAGCGCTTTTCTGGGCACTCAAAGCGCTTTACACAATGGGGGGGGGATCTCCTCATCCACCACCAGTGTGCAGCATCCACCTGTATGACGCGACGGCAGCCATTTTGCGCCAGACCGCACACCACACACCAGCTGATTGGTGGAGAGGAGACAGAGTGATGATATGCCAATCATGATATGTGGAGGGTTAGGAGGCCATGATGGACAGAGGCCAGTGGGCAGATTTGGCCAGGATGCCGGGGTTAAACCCCTACTCTTTTTCGAAGGACATCCTGGGATTTTTAACGACCACAGAGAGTCGGGACCTCGGTTTAACGTCTCATCCGAAAGACGGACGTTATGTTATTTTAATCGATTTGTATTGGGACAACATTAATGAATTGCGGGGAACCCTGGATTTTGTACTGTGTAAGTCAACGGCTAACAGAATTTCAAGCCAAAAAAAAAAAACAACAACTTTGGATTAAAGAACTTTGGTCCCTTAACAAGTGGGAGGCACATTCGCAAACTGTTGTAATTCCTACGTCGTTCACCTAATTTGGATGCAAATACTCTCAAATTAAAGCTGACAGTCTTCAGGTAAAGCACATCTTGTTTGTTTATTTCAAATCCATTGTGTTAGTGCATAGAGCCAAAAATATTAGAACTGTGTCGATGTCCAAATATTTATGGACCTAACGGTATAATATATAAGCGTATATATCAAGTTATATTAAGAATTATATCATGCCTATAGTGACCAATATGCATCCACAATCAGTTGAATCTTTGCCAATATCACATAGAAACCCCAGGTATAGCACTCAACACACAGCATAACCTGTTAATAGCTGGTTAATGGCTAGTTTGGCCCAGGGGTGCAGACCATCTTAATTGATCTCTCTATTATCGCTCTTCAGCCCCTCCACACAAAAAAGGACCCAGAATCCCCTCTCATGCCAAGCTTTTTCCTTCAGTTTAATGGGCTGAGATCCAGCTGTGCTCTACATTGGCCTGTGTTTATCAGCAGGAGCTTGACATCTCAAAGCTGCTCTGCTAATGACATGCTAATGTCCTTCTCTATCTCTCACTGTATCCACACACGAAAACGCAGCTTCTCCAGCAGAGGGGAGTAAATGCTATCAGTGGATGTTTACACTCACATGACAGGGCCTTCAATGAAACTCAACAAGCTATTCAATAAAATTTTCGAAGGCAATCTTTAGTAAAAAAAAAAAAAAAAGATATAGAGAGAGCACAACTGTATGGGGTTTAATTAAAGCGGGTCACATCAACAAAAAGCGCTTCACTGCAGAGGCTTGCAAAGCTCAGGGCCAATTGCGGTCTGGATCAGATAATTTTTTTGAGCCTGTGGGTGTGTGTATGTGTGTGTGTGGGAATGCTTGGCTACAAAAGTGCACCTTATCGGACGCTGAACTGCAGTAGCTTCAAAGTCTACATCAGCTCAATTCTCAGATTGCACAGTTACAAAGTGGACTCGATGGTATTTTGGTCATTTGTTTGGACATGTGGCTTTGATTCGTAAATATCAGACACTTAAAAGTGGCCATATTTAGAGTCAGGGTCAATGAGTGCATGAAGCTAAAAGAGATATCTTTTTTGTTTGTTTGTTTAAAGAAAAAGGAAAAACACATTTAGTCAGGACAAACAGTATTGTCTGTTGCCAAAGAAAATAAGTAAATTAAATTATATTTGATAAAATATTAGTTCCTTGCTATTTTAAACTGGAACCATACTGTAGCTGAGCTGCAATATTACCTTGTATTTACCGTGTTTTATATACAGTTGAAGTCAGAATTATTAGCCTCTCTGAATTATTAGTGAATGAATTAATCCTAAATTAATATTCTTTTCCTCAATTTCTGTTAAATGGTGAAATTTTTTTAACACATTTCCAAACAATAGTTTTAATAACTCATTTTTTAATAACGATTTCTTTTATCTTTGCCATCATGACAGACAGTACATAACTAGATATTTTTCAAGATACTAGTATTCAGCTTAAAGTGACATTTAAAGGTTTAACTTGGATAATTAGGTTACCTAGGCAAGTCTAGGCAAGTATATTGTATAATTTTTTTTTCTGTAGGTAATTAAAAAATGCTTAAAAGGGATAATATTGACCTTAAAATGTTTTTTAAATAATTAAACACCACTTTTATTCTAGCTGAAATAAAACAAAAAAAAAGACTTCTTCCTGCAGTAGAAAAAATATTACAAGAAATTCTGTTAATTCAATTATTTTTTGCTCTGTTAAACATCATTTGGGAAATATTTGATCAAGAAAATAAAATTCACAGGAGGGCTAATAATTTCGACTTTAACTCTATATAAATGGCAACACTTTATTTTAATGTACAATTTACACTATTAACAACCCATTGACTAAGCTAAAACTAAACCAAAAGCTAAAACTAAACCAATAACTTAGCTCAATAAAATACTAATTAGCTGCTTATTAATAATTAGTAAGATAGTGGTTGGGTTTAGGTATTGTCACGATCACAAGTGATCTAATCCTTGCAGATCGCTGGAGAACTTCACATCTGTCACTGAACTGGACTACAAATACCATCATGCTCCTCACACACACCAGTTCCCCATTTCCCCAGATTATACACACACAGCTGGCAACTCATTATGGACTGTTTATCTGGACTTTTTATTCACCTCACACACACGTTGCTGAGTCTTGTT